GGTGAGAAAGTGCTCGGAGGAGCGGAGGGCCTGGTCTCAAGTCCTGTCGGCGCGGGTGCGAGCGGGCCGACGGGGAGAAAGCGGCCGGGGAGCGCCGTGGGCGGCCGCAGCCCCCGCTCCGCTCTCCAGAGACGGGGGACCTGGCGTTCCCGGTGGGCGCTCAGCGGGCATCAGCAGCCAGCATGAAGCCTGGGCAGCTGGGCAGCTGGGCAGCTGGGCGCGGACGGGCGAACCAGAACTGGAGGCGACTGTCCCACAAGCAGGTCCCGCAGGGCAACGTTCGAGAGGAAAGCCCAGGCAGGGACGCAGGGCTCAGTGGGCACGGGAGTTCAGAGGACACTTGTGACAATGAGTGGCTCAAAGGGCGCAGGCTGCCTTAAGGGGAGGTCTGGTCGGGGAAGACCGTGACTCTGGCAGCGGCGGGGGGCCGCACGGCCCGGGGCAGCAGCCTTCACGGAGTGTGTGTATCACGAAAGGCAAACAGACCTGCTCCACCCCGAACTGCAACCAGCACTGACTTGGAAGAAATACTTAATAGGGACGCAGCAGCGACCTGAAGGTCTGACCCTGAGCCCTGATCCAGAGAGAGAAAGGAGGGCCACTAAGCACGAGTTACAAAGAGGGAGATTTTTGGCCCTGGCTGGGGAGCTCAAGTGGTTAGAACATCAACCTGATATGTCAAGGTCGCAGGTTCAGTCCCTGGTCAGGGCACATACACGAAGCAACCAGTGACTGCATCAGTAAGAGGAACCAGCTCTGGCTGGTGCGGCTCAGTGGACTGAGCGCCAAAGGGTCGCCGGTTGGATCCCCAGTCAGGGCGCAGGCCTGGGTGGCAGGCCAGGTCTCCAGTAGGGGGGGGTTGGAGAGGCAACTACACATTGATGTTCTCTCCTTTCTCCCTCCTTTCCCCCACTCCTAAAAAAATAAATAAAATCTTTAAAAAAAGTTACTAGGTGCAACAACAAAGTTGCTGTTTCTCTTCCTCTAAAAATAAAAATCAATAAAAAGGTAGATTTTTCTAAATACAGAAAATTGAGAAGTACTTCACACAACACAGTGGAAATAGATGTGAACAGTAGTGGAAGGGTGTCAGCTCAGAGTCCAGTGAAGGAAGAGGTAATTGTGGGAATAGTGTGTGCTAAGCAGCAGAGAAAGGCGAGCAATCAGGATCAAGGTGAAGGTGCCGGTCTTTGAAAGCTGGAGGGATGTTTTCTCAGCTGAGGCTCCTAGGAAGAAAGACTGGAAAGACTAAAGGAAAGGGAAACTCCAGCTTTTAGGTGAAGCAAGGAGAGGGTGGAAAAAGAGCATAAGGCAAGAGATGAAGTTTTTGCCCCAACTACGGAGACGATGCACAACGTGAGCCGAGGGTGAAGAGCCGTTCAGTGATGGCTCACCAACAATCTTACTTGGTTCTGACCGGCATGGCTCAGTGGGTTGGGTGCCATCCCACAAAACAAAGTCACTGGTTCCAGTCCTAGTCAAGGCATATTATCTGGGTTGCAGGCCGGGTCCCTGGATGGGGGTGTGCAAGAGGCAGCCTATTGATGTCCCTCTGCCTCTCTCTTTATCAATAAATATATAAAAATCTGTTTGAAATACCTTTTCTCATTGATGGGCACAAGAATGCCCATCCTTACACAGGTGCCCTTGGCTTAGGTAGTGTTCACTCCCCTCCACCTCTGGAAATCTGTTCAGCCTTTCTGACATGCTCTCTCCAGCACCTGTTAAATTTCAAGTCTTCATGTTGAAAGAGTGAACTTGCAGGCCCCACCCACCACCCAACAAGAAACATTCCTACAAATGTAGCCATTTATGGGCTGACTAGATAGGAATACACAACTGTACCAATGTCTGGAATTTCTACAAAATTGTTGAAGACTTGACGGAGAGAGGGGAAGGGCTAGAGAGAGAGAATCATCGATCAGTTGCCTGTTGCACACTCCAAACCAGTCGCCAGGATCCTCAACCAGGGACCTCTCACTTTGCAGGATGACACCCAATCCACTGGGCTGGGCTGGGATTTGTAAACAACCCTTAAGGTTCTGCCCCAGGGAAAAGAATTGAGTCCTCCAAGTCCTGTTAAGGAAGAGAGGGTGCTACTTGTCCCATTAGGCTACAGTGAGACACCATCCTATTAGAGAAGGCAGTTCTCGGCACGGACTCCCTTCTCCAGTCCTCTGAACGGGGGTGGGTTAGGTTTGGAGAGGTGGGCTCATGGAAAGAATTACTGCCATGATGCCAAGGCTGCTGGGTGTCAAACCACTGTGGGACAAAGGTGTGGAGAGGACATGGCTCTAGCTGAACTATTGCCTGTTTGCCTTTTGTGGGCTCATGGGGGCGAGACACGTCCCCCTTCCGTTCATCCAGCTACTTTTGGCCGAATGACTCTCCTTCTAGGAAGAGCTAGGGAGCAATCTGTGAAGAAAGTGAAAATATAGGAAAGGTCGTTTAGAGAGGAACAGAGCTCCAGTGGATACTGGGGAGAAAATGGGTGGGGTGGAAATCTCCCCCCCCACCCCCCGCAACAAACATCTATCTCTTCCCTTCACTTTCTGAAGCATGGATGGGTGACAGGTGTCCCCCTCCTCCTTATTGTCTGCCTGCCAAAAACTCTTCGAAGGTCACACTATTTGGCTTTCGCCTTCATGCTTACAGAGGACTTCAACACCTTTAAAATAACTTCTATGTGCTAACTCTTCCTATTATTGTGGTGTTTTTAGGAAAATCCATGTGATCCCTAGGTAGGTTTTAACCATCTCAACTCCGACTTCCAATTTCTCAATTCTGGTAACACGGGTTTTTCTTCTGGCCGCTTCACAGAGAAGGTGGTACGAAGGTACCTTCACGAGCGTGGACACATTGGAGGTGCGCGAGCGGGCCAGCGCTGCCTTAGAGACCTACTGAGACAGGACTGGCGGAACGGCACGGTGTAGGCTTCCGAGACTGGGGGCAGGTTTTGACCTTTGTGCCAAGCTTCCAGAAAACCTGGGTCTGGAGCCAAAAGCACTCTCCTGTTAGCTGCCTCTCTGGGGACGCCTGGCACTTAACAACTTCCATCCTCTTGAAACACTCCATTCCTTTCGATTCTGTGACAATTATCAACCAGTTTTTATTTTTCCTTGTTAATTGTTCCTGTTCAAAGATCCTCCAAGGCCTCCTCTTCTATTTGTGCCTTAAATGATGGAATTCCTAGAGCATCTTCTCATCCCTCTGCTGTTCTCTGGGGAGCTTATCCAAATCTATGCTTTCAACAAGCTCTTAAATGTTCACGATTCGGAATGGCTGGCCTATACGTCACTGGAATGTGTAAAAAGTTTTCTATGAGAGGAATGTATATACACAGTAAAACAAATTCAAACAGTAAAGATAGACCTAAACATGTGTGCTTCATCCCTCCCAGCCCACATTTCATGGTTAAGTTTTTAATGCCTGTGTAAATGTGCAAAAGAGATTGTTCTGCACTTCCTTTCCCCCCACGGGTACATTGCTCTCCTCCAGTTAGATCTGTGTATTCAGCTGTCACTAGGACACCTCCATCTGGCTGTCCCACAGTCCCCTAAAACCCCTTCGCTTGCTGGTGTCTTCTTTTACAGTCAACACCATAAGCACGGTTTATTGTGTTATTACTTATTATTGTAGTATTTTCCAGTCTAACAACTGTAAACCTATTTTTGCCCCACTCTGTACCTTGTGGCTTTCCTGTCATTCTATTTACTTCAGTCTGGGTTCTAACCCAACGGTCTCCAAAACAGATTTCTCCAAAATTACTGACTCCCTTGTTGCAAAATCCAATGGACACATTTTAGTCGCATCTTACCTGCTATGTTACCTTTAACCCTTTGACCACCCACCTTCCTTGATGCTTCCCTCCTGGTTTCCTCCTTTCCTGTCTGCCCCTTTGCGGTTTCCTTCTCACCTGTAACCCCTCAAGCGCAGGTATGCCTCTCTCTAGGCTTCCGTATTCACTTCCATGGCTTCACCAACCACCTCTAGTCACGCGCACACGCGCACACGCGCACACCCACTCACCGAACCTTTCTTTTGGATTCCAAGCCCGCACGTCATTCCATTGTCTAACAGATAACCAACAGGCACCCAAACTCATCCTCCGCTCCGAGACAAAAATGGCATCATTACTCCCCAACTGCCCAAGCCAGAACACTGGGCGACGTCCTGCACCCCTCTCTGCGCCTCACACCCGTTTCCCATCTGTTTTCCCCATCCCACGCCCCTTCGACAGCCATCCCTGGGCTGGGTAAGAGCTTCCCAATTGTTCTCCTTGCTTCTAACTTCGTCCTCTCCAGTCCACAGTTGTCCCCAGGACACCAGTGATCTTTCTAAAGTGGAAGTTTCTTAATCATTGCTCTCACCTCTGCTAAAACTCTTCGCAACCTATCCGCTGCCCTTAGGATAAAATCAACCAATTTACAAGGCCTTGTGTAATCGGGTCCCCAATCTCACAGGCCATTCCGGGCTAACCAGGCCTCCGGTCCCAGTTCCCAAAAGTCCAGGGCTCAGCTCCGGCGACGCTCCCTACAGGAAGCAGGTGCTCCAACAGACAAACGCCCGGGGGGGAATCCGAGAGGGCCGCGAGCAGCGCCTGGCGCCGCGGACCCAGGTTCCTGGACGTCCGGGTTAACAGGAAGCTCGGAGCAAAGGTCAATTCCTCCTCGTGATCCTCCCCCAGTTCACGGCAACCCGACCCGTCCTATTCCGCCCTTAGGCGCCATGGCCGCCAGCCCGCCTTTCCGTGGGTCTTCGAGTCGACACCGCCCGCTCTGGCGCCACCGATGTCTCCACACTCGCGAACGCGGCCCTCTATGCTCCCTTCCGCGGCCCCGCAGCCGCCGGCCGCCAGGAAACGCGCGCGCTGCCAGGCTGCCCCAAAGCAAGATGGCCGCCAGCCTCCATTCTGGCCGCCCAAATGAAGCCAGGCCCTCCCCACGCCGGGCCGCCGCCCGGCTGCCCTCACCTGGCATGGCTCCTCGGCCCATGCCCTACTGTGGCCCTGAAGCCGCCACCAGCCGGCCCGCAGCGGCCGGGTTCCGGAGGCGCTGCTCAGGACGCAGCCTGTCCCCGCCCCGCCCGCCTCCCTCCGCTCCCCTCCCCCTGCCCCACGCCCGCGCCGGCGGCGGCGGCGGCGGCAGGAGCCCGGATGCGGCGCCGGGAGACGGCGGGGGGAGCGGCGCGGATGGATCCAACATGGCGCCGCCGAGCCTGAGCCCGGGGTGAGGCGGCGGGGCGGCCGGAGCGGGGAGGGGGCTCGAGCGGGCGGGGCGGGGCCGGGCGGGGCCGCGAAGGGCTGCGGGCAGGAAAGTGAGGGGCGGTGGCGACGCGCAGCCCGAAGACCCGGGGGAGGGAGGAGACGGCGCTGCCAGGTGGGGGAGGGGCGCGGCGAGGGGCGTGCGGGGCGGCAGGCGGGGCGGGGGCGTCCGCGGGCCGGGTGGCGGGACGGTGGGCGGCCGGGCGGAGCGGGGCGCCGTCCGGCCGGGCGCGGGGCGGGGGCGGAGGGGCGCCGGGGTGCGGAGGGCAGGGCTGTGGCGTGCGGTCGGGCGGAGGCCGGGACTCCCGCGAGGGGCGTTGGAGACGTGGGCAGCGGAGGGTCGGACTCGCGGCGTCTGGGGCAGGGCTGGAAAGTGCTCCACTGGGGCGGCAGGGGCAGGGGCAGGGCCCGCGGCAGGACTCGGGTGGAATAGGAGAAAGCGGAGGTTTGGGGAGTGGAGAGCCTGCCGGTGTGACGAGGTGACGAGAAAGTTTGGGAGGGAGGGCCGTGGGTCGGGACGCGGGACCTGCGGCTGCGGGCCGGGAGGGGTCGGGGCTTCCTCCGCGGGGCGGCAGCGAGCGGAGTTGAAGGCATCAGTTGCAGCCGGTTCCCGCTGCCAGGCCTCCGCTCGTGCTAACGTGGGAGGGCGGTGGGGCGGTCAGGTGGGTTTGCAGAACTGGACTTGGCCGGGCGTTCGGCTGCGTTTCGCCTCGAAGGCTGCCTGGCTTCCTCTCGCCTGTTTTCCCCGGTTAGGGAGCGAAGGGGAAGCGGCGAAGCGGCGTCCGGGAGTGTGGTCGGAGGGCAGGAGTTTTCTGGCTTCCAGCGGTGCGGGAACGCGGGGAGAGCCGTGCTGGGTGCTCGGAGCCCTGCGTGCCCGAGGGGAGGCTCTGGACGTCCGGGAGAGGGACCGGCGCGAAGGGCGGCAGCAGGCTGGCGACATGCCTGCCTTGGTTTCCAGACCTTTCTTCGGCTGTTTGGGTGCTAGCAGGGAGGGGTCAGCATTTATGTATAGAAGACGTCCCTGGTGCACCGTGCGTGTCTTGAGTGCTGGAGGCTGCCCTGCTGCATATCTCGCGCTCTGCTCGGGGAGGGGAAGGGCTGAGATGGAGTTCGCGGGGTAGTTCTGGTCCGATAAGGAGGTGGTGGGTGGGAAGCGTCTTCGTGGCCTGGAACACTTTCCCCGTTCTCCCTAAACGCGATAGCCAACGTTAATATTGTAACAAAATTAGGCGGGTCTCAAGGAACTGAGGATTCAGCTGAGAAGGTGTCGGAGGATAATTGGTTTTCCCACAGGCTGTTGAATCAGGGACCTTTCTTGCCAGGAGCTGCTGAGTCTGGGCGTTTTGGGAGTCGTTTTTTGTGTGTAGATTGGCTGGCTAGTGGAGAGGCGGTGAAGCCTGGCGACTGGGCTGGGGGCGAGGTCTCTGATGAGCGGGAAGGAGGGTCATCTCCATCGGAAGGGGTCTAGGCTTGCGGGTAGTTTTGCAATTAAGATCGACTAACTCGTCGGGTCTTTGAGGTTTCAAAGTAAAGCTTGAATATTGACTGTCTTCCCCTTTACTTGTTTTTGTTTTGCCGCTGGCTTCCAACCTGCTAGGAAGAGACCTGGGACATTAACTTTCTCGCAGAGGTAAGTCTGAAACTTTTTTATGGTTTTCAAAAAACGCAAGGGAGTGGAAATAGTGTGAGAAACTTATTGACGTTGAGCTCGGTAGTGGGGTAAACGGCGGGTAAAATGAGTTCTCGCCGCCCAGCCCGAGTGCACAGGTGCGCTGTGATGAGTGGGCGCAGGTGCGAGGGAGGGCGAGCAGAGCTGGGGTCAGCCCGGCGTTGGGCTGCTGTCAGATAGGCCCCTTGGCTCCAGAGCCATGTTTCGGCATATGGAGCGTTGCCCTTAACTACAGCGTCTACTACACGTTGCCCTGGAAGATAGCGTGCTCTCTCTCCTAGCTCTTCAGGACATCACTTCCTCAGTTCTTGCGCGTTACTTTATTCCCCGGGGACTTCTCAGAGAGTCAGGTACCTCCAGTTTTGTGAAAAGACAGGTGGTATCGCTGGTTGGGATGCACCTCGACCTGGCTGGGAGGTAGAAACCTAATGGAGAATGACCAGTCCAGAGGGAATCCAGTAGATGCACGCAGACCGCAGGTCCTTGGCTGGCTTGGACCTCCTTAAAGAGAAGAAACAAACTGCAGCTCTAACAAATGCAGCGTTTCTTCAGAGCAGAGTGTTATTTTGAGGAAACTGAAGTGGGGACTGATATTTTAGGTTCTCAAATGGACTCCAACCCGCCGGCGGGATCAGAGCCTGTGCTGACCGGAGGGAGTGTCTTGTGGTGTCTGGCATGTCCGAGACACCAAGACCCAGGAGCCCTTGCTCACCTGCTGCTGCTGAGAAGGGGCGCATTCCCTCACTGCTCTGGCACTGCATCTAGGCTCCCGGTGTAGCTTCAGCGGAGCTGCCCTGCTTCAGTGCCACGGAAAGCTGAGTGTGTGTTGGTGTAAGAGGAAGTTGGCCATGTTCTTGTTCTGCTGGAGTTAGATAGGCTCTTGGCATCCCCACCTGGGCTGCGGAGTGAACTCCCCATCCTAGACGGTAATTAGGGGGAGGGCTGCCTGTTCCCCAGCCTCCTGACATGTCTCCCGGGACAGGGCCTTGGGAGACGCAGGCCCCTTCTTCATTTTGCTTCATCTAATGGGTCTGATCAGCAGCCTCTCAAGGAATGGGCGGCTGCTAGTGTAGTGGTAGGACTTTAAAGCTGGCCTTGAGGGGCAAGTGCGGGAGCCTTTGTGTGTGTCTCGCACCGGACGGCACTTCTCCCGTCCTCACAGAGGTCCAGATTGAACTAGGTCAAGTGAGACCTCCCGGGATGGGCAGGGGCCGAGGGCATGTAGCCCTACCACCTGCTGTTCACCTGAATGGCAACAGCAGGTGCTAGAGACCGAGGCCGGAGTGGGATGGAGCTCGTGGGTGCCAGTCGGAGACAGGAGTTAAGCAGGCCCCTGTCTGGCTGGCTTTTGCTTTCTCCCGGACTGGCCCGGTGGGCTCGGGCTTTCCCAGGCCTCGGGTAGGGAGCGGCAGGCCGTCTCTATTCCGCTAGGCCCCTCGTGCTCCCTGTAGAGGAGAGTTTCTCATTCTCGGCACTATCGGCATTGTGGGCCGGATAATCCTTTGTTGTGGGGGGCTGTCCTGTGCCTTGTAGGTCCTTAGCGGCGTCCATGACCTCTACTCCCTGCTTGCCAGGAACACCCTCCCCGCAAGGGCAGCCTGCGCGGTCCACGGACGCTGCCGAATGCCCCTCGGGGGCAAAATCGCCCCTGGTTGGGAACCCTTGACCTTGAAGCTCTGATCACTCCGGGCACCGTAAATGATCTGGCCTCAGAGGCTAGAACTTAAAAGTGGCTGTTTTTTCCCTCAAGTGGAGGGAGTTAACCCTTGGAGAATTGAGGCCTGTTGCAGAATCAGCTCCATTGCTGAATAATTAGGACCACAGTGCTTTCCTGTGTTCTGCCTCATTTTCCAGTGGCCTGTTATTCGGGGCCCTGTTTCTTCATTTCCTGGGGTTTGTGGCCAGGACACTGCGCATTAGGGAGGGCTGCGGCGACCCGGCCTTCTGATTGGTTGAGCGTGAAACCTGCCCGTCTGCTCTTCTGGGGTCCTCATAATCAACAGGTGGCCAGAGGGAACAGGTGGGACGGGGCACAAGGAGGACGAGTCGGGCCTTGAGGAGGCTGGGTTTTCCCAGGCCGTCTGCTAGGAGCCCGAAGTTCTCCTCCTCCCGTCCCTGCACTGGCACCCGGAGGCCGCGTTCGGGAGAACGGGAGGAAGAGACGAGGAAATCCAGTCTAGAGGGGAACAGCTATTTTCCTGGCTGTTTCCGCTGTCTCGGGTGGGGCGCCTCCTAATGAGACGTGGGCTGCGTTTCCTGTGCACACATCAGAACCCGTGGCGTGGCCTGGGGCTCGGCGACTCGAGGGTGGCCCGGCCGCCCCTGCAGTGTGCGCGTCGCGCGCCTCGGCGCTTGTGTCAGGGCCACTGGGGTGAGGCAGAGAGGACCAGGCTCCGTGTGCTCTTGGCGGTTCTGAAATAGCTTATTTTACTCTTTTTTTTGTTTTTCTTTTCAAGGTTTTATTTACTTGTTTTTAGAGAGAGGGGAACACAGAGAGAGGGAGAAAAACATCAGTGCGTCGTTGCCTCTTGCACACCCCCAACGGGAGACCTGGCCCGCAACCCAGGCACCTGCCCGAACCAGGAACCTAACCGGCAACCTTGGTTCGCAGGCTGGCGTGTGTTCTTTTTCTTAAGCCAGGCTCAGTTCTTGGTGTACAGAGGGGACAGAACCGCCTGTCTCGGCCCGAGCGTGGTGCTGGCGAGGAGCAGCTGTACAGTGTGGGGAGCCTCGGCAGCCGCGGCGCGGCGTGCTAACCGCGTCCCGTGCATCCATGTTTAGTGAGGTCCTCTCAGTCTTGGGCTTAGGTGCGCTCGTTTCCTAATGAGTGTTGCTTGGGATGATCTCTGGGAGGTTCGGTGGGGCCCGAATGCCAGGCTCCATCCATGGCTGTGGGTGCTTTGTCCCTCCCCAGGTGCAGGCAGCCTCCAGCAGGCGGTTTAAAGGCCGCGAGCAGTGTCCACGGGGCACAGGGGAGGGCTCCTCGCCCAGCGTGAGGTGCTGAGAGCGGGTGCAGAGGTGGCGTCCGAGCCGACTGGTGGGGGGTCGGGTTAGCCCTCTGAGAGGGGGCGGTGGCGCAGGGTGGGGGGCGGGGGGAGGCGAAGGAGAGAGCCTGAGGGGTGGCACAGGGATGGGCGCTGCAGGACGCGTGCGCGGGGCGTGTGCGGGGCGTGTGCGGGGCGTGCGCGGGGCCGCCCACAAGCCGGTAACGGGGAGAGCAGAAGGCAGGCTACGGGGTTGAAGGGGGGGCGGCGGCGGGTCGGACCGGCTGTGTGGGGAGTGCGGAGTGTCCTCGCAGGTAAGGAAGGCGGTGAGGGCAGGTCTGTAGCGGAAGGGGATGCGGTCTGCTGTGCATTTCGGAGAGCGCATCACCCTGGGTGTGGCGCGGGGTCCAGCGGCCTTCAGACGGAAGGTGCAGGGCGCCCTCAGACCGGCTGCAGGCAGCCGCCAGTGCGAGCTGTGGGGCCCGGCCCGGGCCGGGGCAGTGAGGGGGGCCGGCTGGCCAGCCTAGCAAAGCCCAGGGGCGGGGTCAGCAGGGGTGGTCGGGGGGCAGCAAGGGCGAGGGCGGGAGCGAGCGGGCCGTCCTTGGCGGGGTCCTCGCGTTACCCAGGATGACGGAGCAGCTTTGTGAATCAGACGCCAAATCATGAAACGAAGGTAGGGCTGTGCTCGGTCGTTGACGGGGGGCGGGGTCGGTAAACGGCAGACATGAGGAAAGGTAGGAGGCAGCGTGTCCAGGTGGCGTCTGAACGTCGAGGGGGTGCGAGGACAGTAGGAGAATCACAGGAACGCTCAGGACGGGAAGGCCGTGGCCCTGGCGGGTAGCGCGCTCCGCTCGCTGGAGCGTCGCCCCCAGACGCCAAGGTTGCGGGCTCAGTGGTTCCGTCCCCAGTCCGGGCACACGCAGGCATCAGCCAGTGAATGCGTAAGTGAGTAGAACAACAAATCAGGGTTTCTGTCTCTCCCTCCCTTCCTCTCTCTCTCTAGAACCAATCAATTTTAAAAAACACATAGGAACTTAAAATGTTTCTGGATTTGAATTTATGGGTTTTGGTGAATATTATTCATTAGCCTTCTGAGCGGTTATGCTTCTGGACTCGGTTGGATTGTCGGAAACCTAAAGATAGGGTTATGGAAGGGTGAGTCTGGGCTACAGAGGTCAAGGATGGTTATTTCTTTGAAATCCCTTTCACGACGATTTATTTAAGATTCACAAAGTGATTTCACGTGTTTTTTCACTGGATTTTTAAAAAAGATTTTATTTATTTTTAGAGAGAGGGGAAGGGAGGGAGAAAGAGAGGGAGAGAAACATCAGTGTGCAGTTGCCTCTTTGCCCGCCCCAGCCCCAGGCCTGTGCCCTGACTGGGAGGCGAACCAGCGGCCTTTTGGTCCACAGGCGGCACTCAGTCCACTGAGCCCCAGCAGCCGGGGCCTTCACTGGGTTCTTTACAGGTCTGAGGAGTAGTTCCTTTCAAGCCTGTTTTGTAGATGGGGGCAGGGAGACTTGCTTAAGGTCACACAGTTACACAGTGTGTTAATGATACAGTCAGAATTGAAACGAGTTCTCGCTCCAGAAATTTTTAGTTTCCTACTGTCAGTCCCTGAATCCACTTGCTACAGCTTCCACGTTAAAGAGTGAGCTCGTCCCTTCTGCTGGGCGGTGCCCACGTTTCGGAGGAGAACCGGCTGCGGGGGAGCGCAGGGACCTCGGGCACCGTATGGGGGCGGGGCGGGCTGCCATCAGGGCAGCACCCACGCAGGGTCTGCTGGACGTGTGGCGCTCAAGTCTCACCTCGCAGTCTCACTTGGGCAACGTGACCAGTTCCCGGAGTGTCTTGGACTTAGGGCGCCGCCTGCCGGGGAGTGGGGAGCTCCAGGCTTTACTCGTTAGCAGACGCTTTCTCGGCGCCGCCCTGTGCCCGGCGTTGCGTTAGCCCCGGCAGTGCAGGCGCGACTGAGACCGGTGCTTGCCACCGACGCCCTCACAGGCTTCTCGTCCCCACAGCGTGGCGGGGCTCGCAGGTGCCAAGCAGGGGTTCTGGAAGGCGTTGCGCACCTGAGCCCCCAGCATGGCGGGCCGGAAGCGCCAGGCAAGCCAGGTGTGGCCGGAAGAGCGTGGCGAGCAGGAGCACGGGCTCTACAGCCTGCATCGCATGTTCGACATCGTGGGCACCCACCTGACGCACAGAGACGTGCGCGTCCTTTCCTTCCTCTTCGTTGACGTCATCGATGACCACGAGCGGGGCCTCATCCGGAATGGACGTGACTTCTTGTTGGCGCTGGAGCGCCAGGGCCGCTGTGATGAGAGTAACTTCCGCCAGGTGCTGCAGCTGCTGCGCATCATTACTCGCCATGACCTGCTGCCCTACGTCACCCTCAAGAGGAGGCGGGCAGGTGAGGGCCACAGGCCGGGACGGGGCAGGGCACGGGGCGGGGTCCTGGTGGGAGGCAGCGCTGGCCTGGTGGGGGCCGGGGCGGGCGGCCTCGGCCGGGTCTGAGGCCCGCGGGGGTGCTGGACCGGAGTGGGGTTGCGCCTCCCCGAGTGACGCCCTCTCCCCTGCAGTGCGCCCTGACCTCGTGGACAGGTATCTGGAGGAGACGTCAGTTCGCTATGTGACCCCCAGAGCCCTCAGCGACCCAGAGCCAAGGCCTCCCCAACCCCCCAAAACAGGTGAGAGGATATCGACTCCCCTAATTTCCATCATCAGGAAAGAGTGCACTGGCCGTGAGCAGCGTGGCTCTGTGGGTTGGGCATTGTCCCGCAAAACAAGGTTCGAACCCCAGTCAGGGCTGAGGCCTGGGTTGCGGGCCAGGTTTTCACTTGGGGGCGCATGAGAGGCAACCCAGCCAATTGATGCTTCTCCCTCTCTTTCTCCCTCCTTTTCCCCTTCTCTGAAAATAAAGTCTTTAAAAAGAAAGAAAAGAGGACACAGAACCCAGCATAGTCCCAGCTTAAAATGAAAGGGCACTGCCTCCCCCCGCAGCCCCGTAAAAATCAGGTGAGGCGCTGTTGCGTCCCTGACTCCTGTGGTCACGGCCTCATGGTGTCCTCGCCCTAGGTCACACTGTGGAGCCTGCGTGTCCTGCCCAGGCTAAGGGGTTCCCTCCGTTCCGGGAGCAGCGTCTGCGCTCCCGCGCTCACCCTGCTGTCCTCTCCCTCTCCCCCGCCAGTGCCTCCCCACTACCCTGTGGTGTGCTGCCCCGCCTCCGGCCCTCAGATGTGTAGCAAGAGGCCAGCTCGAGGGAGAGCCACACTTGGGAGCCAGCGAAGACGCCGGAAGTCAGTGACCCCGGACCCCAAGGAGAAGCAGACGTGTGGTGAGAGGCCCCCAGGTCCCCGAGGGGTGCTCCCGGTGCGAGGCCCCCCTTGAGTGCTGGCGCAGAGTGCGGTTTCGTTTTCGGTTACACCAGATCGCAGGGGCGCATCTGGGGGCCCAGGTGCCCCGGCGTGAGGGAGGGTGCAGGCACCTTGTGCCTGTTGACCAGGAAGATGCCTCTCAGAGGCAAGGCGCTGCCCGCGTGATGGGATAATGGGGTCTGGGCACGGCTCGGCCCCGGGCGTCCGCGGGCCCCGCCTCGCTGCTGCTGCTCCGGGAACTCCTCTCGGAAACGGGTCCCTCATGGCAGTCTCTTCCGTGCCTCTCCCCTCCCGCGCAGACATCAGGCTGCGGGTCCGGGCTGAATACTGCCAGCACGAGACGGCTCTGCAGGGCAACGTCTTCTCCAACAAGCAGGACCCCCTGGAGCGCCAGTTTGAGCGCTTTAACCAGGCCAACACCATCCTCAAGTCCCGGGACCTGGGCTCCATCATCTGTGACATCAAGTTCTCTGAGCTCACCTACCTCGACGCCTTCTGGCGCGACTACATCAATGGCTCGTTACTGGAGGCACTGAAAGGCGTCTTCATCACAGACTCGCTCAAGCAGGCGGTGGGCCACGAAGCCATCAAGCTGCTGGTGAATGTGGACGAGGAGGACTATGAGCTGGGCCGACAGAAGCTCCTGAGGAACTTGATGCTGCAGGCTTTGCCCTGACCTCCCTCTCACAGGACGGGCCCCACCACTCACCTCTGGAGCGCGCTCACTGTCCGGGTTTGTTCTCTCCCCTTCCAGCCAATCACACCCTGCCTTTTTTTTTTTTTTTTTTTTTTTTTTTTAAGGAAAAGAAAGGAAAACGGAAGTGGTGTTCCCCGCCCCTCCCTGCACCCACGTGCCTGGGCTTCCCGTGTCCCTTTCCGCTGGCCCCACGTGTCTGCAGCAGCCTCGCCCCTGAGCCGCGAGGCAGATGCGTGGGGGAAGCTGAGTCTGCAGGACAGTGTCTGTAAGGGACTGAGGCGAACCCTGCGTCCGGGGCACGGGGCTGTCAGTGCTCCAGGCTCTAGGAGGGCTCTTGCCTGTTCGTCTGAGAAACCAAAGGGCTGTGAGTAAGGGAGCTGTGTTGTGTGGAAGGTGAGACTCTGAAGTGTATTTTGGAAATTAATCACCACCCTCTCCCAAATTACAGAATTTTTTAAAAAGACGCTGTGGCCCTTTCCACTCTCTCCTGGGCTCCGGTGCTGCTGCTCCGCCTCGTTCCTTCCTTTCCCCCACGCGGCCCTCCTTGCCGCCACCCAGCCCTGGGCGATGGGCGGGCGCACCTGCTGGGGGGCGGTGCCCAGGCGGAAGCACTGCCCCTCAAAGGGGAGGGGGCGCGATGCTCGCCTTCCCTGGGTGAGTGACACAGACAAGGGGCCCCACGGCCTTCCCCTCCTCTCCTGGCTCGGACAGAGGGCGGTACAGGGGAAGTGCAGTAACGCGGCACCAGCTCCCTGCTGTGCCCCTCCCTGTCCACACGCACTGAGTGTCGCACTTTTACTGGGTAGGAGGCCGAGTGAGCCCGCGGGCCGAGAACCGGCGCCCAGGCCAGCGGGTGCCGCGCCGTCTCCTCCAGCTCCCAAAGGAGGTGTCAAGACAGACTTTATGATGATTATATTTTTTTTCAATGCCAGTGCTGCTCAGCCCTCAGCATAATTTCAGTTTTCATGAAATAAACAGTGACTGTATAAAACTCCACCTTTTTGAAACTAAAATCTGAGCTCAGGTGACTTTCTTTCCCAAGAAGCTGAGCCCGTGTTCCTTTGAAAGAGTCACGGTTCTCCCAGTGCGGGGTTGGGGGGTGTTCCTGCGTCCCACCTGCACGTCCCAGCCGTGCCGCTCACAGCGGGCAGCCCAGGCTGCTGTAGAGGTCGGGCCTGCGGTGCTGGAGCACAGGCAGGTGTTGGCGCAGCCGCCGCAGGTAACCAAGGTCGATGCGGGCAAGGCAGAGGCCCGGGCCCTCTGAGCAGCGGGCCACCACCGCGCCCCAGGGGTCCACCACCATGCTGTGGCCGTAGCTCGCCCTCTTCTCGTGGTGGCGTCCACACTGCGCTGCTGCCACGACATAGCACTGGGTTTCGATGGCGCGGGCCCGCAGCAGCACCTGGGGAGGAGACGTGCAGCCGTGGGTGGGGACGTGCTGGCCAGCCTGCCGACCGCGACCACGCTCATCGTCTAGGAGCGGCTGACGATGTTAACTGCTCCTCAGCACAGGCGAGTTAGGCCACGATCTTGGGAATGAGTGTTCCCACTGGGTCGGAAGGGGCAGGAAAGCTGGCTGGCCGGGCCCGGGGCAGAGAGCGAAGCTAAGGGAAGGCCTGGTGTGCCGACCAGGGGCTCTTACCTCCCAGTGGGCTGGGCCTGTCACAGATCCAAAAGCTGAGGGGTAGGTGAGTATTTCTGCTCCAGCCTGAGCCAGTGCCAGAGAGAGCTCCGGGAACCGCATGTCGTAGCAGACAGCCAGGCCGACCTGGGGCGAAAGAGCTGTCCTGCTGTCGAGCGCAGAGCCGCTCCCAGTCCCCGCTCCCGCTCCCGCTCCCGCTCCCGCTCCCGCTCCTCTGTGTGTGGGCCCTCCGGCTCCGCCCCCTCCCTGCTCCCCGGCCCCCCGCCCGCTCCCACCTTGCCAGCCGGGGTGCTCACGGGCGACTCCAGGCGGGGCCCAGGCGAGGTGCAGTCGCTTTCGCGCATGGGCCCCTGCCCTGGGATCTCCACATCGCACAGGTGGGTCTTCCTGTAAGTGGCCACTACCGACCCTAGAGGAAGGAGAAGGAGTATCTGGTGCTGGTGCTCCAGAAGCCCAGCTTGGCTCCTCTTCTCCCAAGGAGGAGTCCTTGGCCAAGGAAATAAGAGTTAAGAAAACAAATCTGGAGAATCTTCATTTAGGCGGAAGAGGGGTGAAGTCTCACCCTTGCTGTTCAGAAGCACATGGCAATTGTAGATTTTCTGAGTCTGCTCCCAGTCATGGCCGCGCTCGTGGAAGCCGCCCAAGGACAGCCAGAGTCCACATTCCCTGGGGGGAGGGCGGACACTGGCGCTCTTCCCAAGGCTCCGCCCTCGCTCCCAGCAATCCAGGGGCACTGCCCGGCACGGAAGACCCCCCCGCCCTTCCCTGATACCTGGCGAGCTGGCTATATTCGCCCAAAAGCTCCCCTCCCAGTGGCTCAGACAGGCGTAGAGTCTCGGCAGGGTCCCGTGCAATGAAGTCAAATGCCTCCGGCAGGAAAGCCAGACAGGCGCCCAGTCCGGCAGCCTCTCGCACCAGCTCAGCACAAGCTTTGAAGTTCTGCTGCTTGTCTGGTGTGGACGTCACCTGGCACACAGCCACCAGGGGCAGTTCCCGGGAGGAAGAGCTAGCCATGCCTCTGGGTCTGTGAATGGTGCGGGCGGGACTCGGGTTTCCCAGCCTGGGGAAACCGAGGTGCAATGACAAGGGGCTCAAATCGGGAGGCAGGAAGGCTGAACTTCCTCTGGCTCTGTTGTCACAGGCACAATGGCCCGCCCATCAGGTGTCCGGTGGAGGGCTGGCACCCCACTGTTTCCCACCACCACTTATTTCACAAACATTTATTGAGCATCTATGTGCCAGGCACTGAGGATACAAAACATGTTACCTGGGCCGAACACAGGGTATCCGCAGGCCGGGACACAGAAGGAATAGGAGGTGATGAGCAGGCCTGACCAGGAAGCTGAGCCTGAGGAAGGCGAGAGATGAGGTCCGACCCCTCCCTCACGCAACACTTCCAGGGTTCTCTGACTTCGCCCTTCACACCGTGAGGCTGAATCGCAGCCCTGCCGGTGAAGACCCCCCAAGTCTTCCAAACACTCTTAAGTAATTACGGGCGACAAGAAGAGATGATAAGGTGAGAAGACAGATGACACCTGCACTTCCAGCGACCTCGCGTCGCCCTGAAGCCCTGTCCTCAGCCAAGCGCTCGCTGCTCAAAAGGCACCTCCCAGAAATTCCTCGGTCTCCCCCTTTCCTCCGGACCGTGCACCTGCACAGCTGGATCGCGCACCCAGGATCTCTGCAGGGGCGCCCGCCCGACCCCACCGCCGAGCGTGCCCCGCGCCCTTCTCCACTCAGCCCGCCCTCCCCCGGGGTGGCGTTTCCGTGGCACAGGTGAAGGCACGGCAGGTGGGAGGCACCGCGCCCGCGGCTCAGGGAGCAGGTCCTACATGGAGACACAGCCAGGGCCGTTCGCGAGATCCGCCGCGCAGCGTGTACTGCGGGCGGAGGCGCCCGGGACAGGGGGCGGGACCCAGAGACCGGAAGTGACGTGACGCCGCGCCGCGCGCCGGAAGCCCCGCAGGCGGCGAAGATGGCGGAGAACAGCGGTCGCGCCGGCAAGAGCAGCGGCAGCGGCGCGGGGAAGGGGGCGGTGTCGGCCGAACAAGTGAGCAGCAGAGAGGGCGCCGGAGGGCAGCCCGCTGGGTCCAGAGAGGACGCGAAGAGGGGGTTCCACGGCTGCCGCAGGTTTTCCCTCCGGGCCCGCGTTAGCGTAGCCACGGGGGCGGTCAGGGTCCTGGAGAAGCCGGTGGGGTCCCGTGGGCGGTGAAAGCTACGCCCCTGGAGTCCTGGGCGTGCCTCCGGGAAGGAAGCCCCGAGATGCAGAGTCTGGGAGAATGCTCAGGTCTGACGGGAGGTGGGTCCTCGTTCTCCCCACTTCTTCGCACCCACAGACAGGCCATGGTTGGGCATGGCCGCTAGTAACGAACCCCCGGGGATTAGTCCGGGGCTGGCCGTGGAGTCGGCTACCTGACCCTTAAATTAAGTGGACAGTCGCAGTCACTGCAGAGCCACGTGACGCACACACTGGATCAGTCTAGTGTTTCATACTATTTTTGATTCGGGAATGATTATCAGGTTGAATTTGAGATCACAAATCCTTTTCTAATCCGAGTTTGCATTTCCCTCCCAGTGCCTAACATTGGGAAACATTTTATAAATTAACCAGAAAGCCCTTTGTGCTTGTGCACCAAGGTTTGCTAACCTTGGCTAGTGTTTAACAGAGGTGGAAAGAAGTCTACCTAAGAGAAAGGAAAACATAGCTCTTCTAATTACAGATTTATTTACCAGTTATTTGTTGAACAGTTACTCAGGGAAAGGTATTTGCCTGAGGATTTTTTAAACCGTCCCTTTCTTGCCATCAAAGAGTTCCAGTCTGGTTGGGGGACATAAGTTATGCAAAATGGTAACATGAAAAAGAAGAGGTATAAAGTGCTGTAGGATTTTGAAGAGAGGAAGAGCGTTTCAGACTTATGGGGGAAAAGGCAAGGGAGAGGAACCTAAGGGAGAAGTAGAACCTTTTGAGGTTCTGCCATGTGCCAGGCACTCTGCTGGGCACTGGAAAACAGACAAATGAAATAGACCTTGTAAAGTTAGCGCACAGACTCATTTGAGGATAGACCGGCAAAACCATAAAATTGACAGTGTTCCACGCAGGCCCTTACTTAGGGCAGGCAGAGGAGGGACCCCTAGTGAGCATGAAGTTAAGGGACTGGGGTGGGGGGAGGTGGGAAAGGGAAGCTGCGGTATATGGAAAGGGGGCCAGGACCGTAGCAAGTGCGCTGGGGTCAGGCATACGTGGATTTGAATCACATTTCTTCTGTTTACTGTCTATGACCTCCCATGAGTTACTACTACTGTTGCCCTTTCCCTTTTGTAAAAACTTGACCGTACCTACCTCATCGCTGTATTTTGATTGCTAGGCAAGACAGTACCTGCAAAGTGTTTTTGCACAGTGACCAGAATATAGTATGTGTTTAATAAATGCTAGTTATTTTGTGTTCTGGAAGAAGTGCTCCTTCAGTGCAGTTCTGAAGGATGAGAGAAGTTAGTCAAGCAAAGAAGGAAGTGGAGGGTTTTATAGGTAGGTGAACGATGTGTTTAAAAGCACTCAGGCACGAAACTGCCTGACGTGTTTGGGATGCAGGTAGGCCTAAATTTTGGGATAGACTGCAAGACTTGGATGTGAAGAAAAAGGGATAAAAGGAATCTAGGGCCCTAGCTGGTGTGGCTCAGTGGATTGAGCACCGGCCTGCGAACCAAAGGGTCACCGGTTCGATTCCCAGTGTAGGGCACGTGCCTGGGTTGCAGGCCAGGTCCCCAGGAGGGGGCACATGAAGTGCAGCCACACATTGAGATTTCTCTCTCTCTTTCTCCCTCCCTGCCCTTCTCTAAAAAAAAAGTAAATAAGTCTTTAAAAAAAAAAATAGGAAAAGAAAGGAATCTAGGCTGTTTTCCAGGTTTCTGTCTTTGATGGATGCTGGTGCCATCGGGACTATGGGGAAATGAACAAGTTTGTGGGGGAGAAAATAAGTTTATTTTAGAATTTTAAGTTTGGGTTTCCTGTGGGACATCCAGGCAGAGACATTTAGTAGGAGGTAAGATGTATAAATCTTGAGTTACAGAAAGAAATCTGAGTTGGAGCTATAAGCTAGAGAATTCTGAGCTTCTGGATGGTAGACAAAGCCATGGTTGTGGATGAAATCACCTAGGGTTTGTTCAGAAAGTAGGAAAGAAGCAAACAGTCATGGGGAAAGAGAATCTCTCAAAGGACTGAGGAAGTGATAATTGAGTTTGGAGACTGGAGATCACTGAGTGAAAAATACAAGATACATGGTTGCTGCCAATTTGAGCCACAGCATGATGGAAGCAGGTAGTACATTGTGCTAGGCACTGGACCTGTCTTCTGTCCCTTAATTACTGGCATTTGAAGTAGGTTGTAGTGTCCTTTTATGCATAATGACAGTTGAGCCCTGGCTGGTGTAGCTCAATGCATTGGGCGCCAGCCCGTGAACCGAAATGTTACCGGATCGATTCCCAGTCATGGCATGTGCCTCGGTGGTGGGCCAGGCCCCCAGATGTTTCTCTCCCTCTCTTTCTCCTCCCTTCCCCCTCTGTCTAAAAAAAATAAATAAATAATTTGGGGGGGAAATGATGACAGTTGAGTTTCAGAGGCATTGGTTGACTACCCACAGTCACTGACCAGGAGAGCAGGGTCTTTCACTGAGAGACTGGACAGTCACACAGACCTGTTTTTCTCAGGCCATCATCACATCAGAGATGTTTGCACTGAGCCTGAGGATGGGATACATTTGAATGGGTGGCAGTGGGACCCGGGTGAGAAGGCGAGAGCTAGGAAAGCCTAGGTGAACATGAAGTGTGGTGACTGATCGATCAGATCATCAGGTCGACTTTGGAAAGAGGTCCTGAAAGTAAGTCGGATCTTCGCATGGCAAAGATTTTGGGACCTTTTAATTTTTTTTAATCCTTATCAGAGGACATGCTTACTGATTTTAGAGAGAGGGGAAGGGAAGGGGAGAGAGCGGGAGAGAGACATTGATATGAGTGGAACATCGATCGGTTGCCTCTCACACGTGCCCCGACTGGGGATGGAACCTGCAACCCAGGCATGTGCCCTGATCCAGAATCAAACTTGGGTTTACAGGATGATGCTCCAACCCGCTGAGCCACGCCGGCCAGGGCGAATTTGGGACTTTTTAATGTAAACAATACTATTGATTTTTCTTTTTCCTATTACAATTTAAAATATGTGCATTGTGGAAAATGTAGAAAACACAGGAAAAAGTACAAAATAAGATATAAATCGCCCATGATCTTGCTTTGGAGGGATAACTGTTCTTACCATTTTGGAGTGTATTTGAGAGTACACAACCCTCAGTGGGTTTGTGTATATGTGTGTAGGTGGAAGGGGAGGAAATGTGTATTTCACATGTGTACATATTCTGCAGAATTGGTGTTATACAATATACACTGTTCCATAATCTGCTTTTTAAGCCTAATAATGTATCATAAACATTTTTCCACGGCATCAAGTGTTAGGAAAGCTAGGATGGCACCAGTGCACAGGGCGGATTTGGAGCGTCCAGGAACAGGGGGACGGTTGGAGGGCTGCCGCGGGGGTCGGCGCAGGGGTGACGAGCGGGCGGGGGTGCTGTGAGCCTCAGGAAGCTGCTGAGCGGGCCCAGCGAGTTCGGCGGTCGAGCGGAAAGCGTGTGTTCAAAGTGGAAGCAGAGTTTCCGACCTGGAGGGCTAGCGTCGTGTGGTTCGCAGAAATAGGGCGACGGGGAGAGGAGCCGTTTAAAACGGGGTAAAAGAGGGTCGGGTCAGCCCTGTCGCTGAGTGCAGGGTGCCGTCGGGGCGCTCGGCTGGGCGTCCTGCGAGGTAGCAGCTGCCGGTCACCAACGGTCTGCTCCGTGCTGGGCGGGCGGGGGGAGGTCGGCGGGGAGCCAGTCTTCCCGCGACTTTCTCCTGCTGTGCCAAATTCGGGAAGTTTTCTTTCATTATTTTTTCAAATGGATTTCCAACATCTTGCCCTTGCTCCCGTCCTTCCGGCCCCCCGATGATGCAAGTGTTGGAACGCGTGAAGTCTCAGAGGCTGCATATACTCGCCTCATTTTTTGGGATTCTTTTTTCATCTTCTTGTTCTGACTGGTTGTTTTTTGCTTCCTTATGTTCCAAGTCATTGATTTGATTCTCAGCTTCATCCACTCAACTGTTGTTTCCCTGTAAGTTGTTTGTTTCAGTTGGTGAATCCTTCATTTCTGACTGAATCTCTTTTATGCTGCTGAGGTCCTCACTGAACAGTTCCTTGAGCATCCTTATACCCAGTGTTTTGAACTCTGCATCTGATGGGTTGCTTATCTCCATTTCATTTAGCTCTTTTTTTCTGGAGTTTTGATCTGTCCTTTCATTTGGGCCATGTTTCTTTCTCTCATTGTTTTGGCAGCCTCCCTGTGTTTGTTTCTATGTGTTAAGTAGAGCTGCTTTAACTCGGTGTCTTGGTAGCGTGGCCCAACGTAGTGGGTGTCCTGTAGGGTCCATGGCACAGCCTCCCCATCACCCAAGCTGGGCACTCGAGGTGCGTCCTTCATGTGGGCTGACTGCACCGTCCTCTTGGGGTTGAGCCTTGGTTGCTGTTGGCAGGTGAATGGGAAGGGTTTACCCAGGCCATTCAGCTGCAAGGAGTGGCTGTGACCGCTGACCACCAACCTCTACCCTCCGCAGACGATCCCACTATGCAGGGGCAGGTGGTGGTGCTCGCGACGTGGCCTGCAGCTCCCCACTGGGTGCGCTGGCCCTGGGGTTTCCCAGGAGGTGCGGGCCAAAGTCAGCCCCCACCTGTGTTTTGCCCGAGGCGCCCTGCCTGAGCTGTAAAGCGATCTGAGACAGCTGCTGCTCGTGCTGGGCTTGGAGATCCCCAGGAGAAGCCAAGCTGTGAATCTAGGCCGCTAGCTCTGGGCCTGGGGCTCCCTGAGGGCAGCTGTTGCTTGTGCGATAGGACTTGGGAGCCAAGGCCCGTTGTTCATATGGAGAAGCAGCCTGGGTGGGCCCGTTAGTTGAGTGGGACGGGAGTCTCTGGGGACCTCCAAGGTGAGTCACACAGTGGGAGCCAGGTTGATGGAGTCTCAGGCGTGGCACCAGCTTGCTGACCCTGGGGGGGAAGGGCTCAGAAAAGGGACAGTGGCCTCTGCTCACCTCGGTGTCAGATACTCCACTTTCTCCCCGGTGCCACTGGTGCCTTGACCCCGGTGCCGGAGCCCAGAGGGAGTGGGTCTGCGCGGGTGAGGCCGTGCGTGGGCCCTTTAAGAGGCAGAGCCTGGGGCTCCAGCAGTTTCTTCCAACGACTCTGTCCCCTCTGGTATTTGCAGCAGAAGTTGTGGGGACTTACCTTCCTGGCCCTGGAACCCTGCGCTGGGGGGCCTGGTGTGGGCCTGGGACTCCTCGCTCCTGGGATGTCCCTCCCAAATCTGTATCCACCACACGTGAGTGAGGGACCAGCCGTTCCGCGTCTGCACCCCTCCTACCGGCCTGGGTGAGGGGTCTGTATGTTAGTGGTAGTTTGGATGCGGTCGTGCGAGGAGGCGAGCCGCGCCTGCCGACGCTGCCGTCTTGACCCGAAGTCACCCCACGGCTGTAACATTTTTATACTTTCTGTCCAGATATTTAAAATCATGCTATTTATTACCGAAATACTGGATACAACCTGAAAACCCCCTCAGCAACTTTAAAATCCTGAGACAACTGTAGGTTAACAGGGAGGGGGAGGCGAATCCAGTCTAGCCAGCCAGGAGAGGGCCACTCGGGAGGCTGTCTTGCAGGAGCCAGAGGCTGCGGCCCGGTCACAGCCTCGCTGCCTGGCGGACCCCAGGGCCCGCGCGGTGACGGCAGCTGCTTTTGCATCCAGCGTGCGGTGAGTTGGCAGTTCGTGGCTGAGAGATTTTATTTCCTTGAAGTGCACCAGTGGCTGACATTGTGCATCATAACTGGAATCCATGCGTTTAAATGGATTAATTGTAGTTTGGTATTTGATTAAAAGTTTGTAAACTGGACCAAAAGGAAATAGGAGTTGTTAATTAGGAAGAATGTTTGAAGAACCTGAAAAACCTCTCTGACTTTTCTTAAGTTGAAGAGTAGATTCCTGCTGACCGAGGACACAGAGCTCAGGCCTCGGGCTAGACCCGCGCCGGAGAGCTGATCCCCGCGGCGGGGTCAGCAGCCGTACGTCCAGAAGAGCGGCCACCGGGGTGCCGTGCGAGCTTCGAGAACCCGGTTGCGTCCGGGCTTTTCTCAGGTGGAATGACGTTGGCGTGTAGGTGGAAGCGTTGGTCCGGGCAGCACAGGGAGGGGCACACCTGTGGGCCAGGGGACTCCCAGGCCGTTGTTGGCACCAGTGGCCCAAGCAGATGGAGAGCAAGTGGCCGGAGAAGGAAGCGAGCCCTGGCGGGGGTGCCTGGGCCCGAGGCCGGCGGCGGAAGGGACGGGGGCAGCACAGGGCGGCTGGGCGGGCGGGCGGGCGGGCTCGCAGGGGTTGCTGGCGATAGGGACCCTCGTGAGGAGGAAGGCTAGGTGCCCGCGGCGTGTGACCGGGGTGAGGTGACCGAGCGTGCGATTGGGCGCTGGGCGGAGTGGCCGGTGGGGAGCGTCCAGGGGAGGGTGTGCAGAGAGGCCGTGGCAGCAGTGAGTGTGCTTACTGGCCGCAGAGCCACTCACACCGACCCGTCTGCCAGACGGCAGAGCTCTGGGAGGCGGGCACCGCGGCCCTCCCGACTGGAATGGCCCGGGGGGTCCTTCTGGGAATTCCGAGGCCTGGGCCTCACCCCCAGCGATTGTGGCCTCGTCTGGGGGCCCCAGTGTCCCTGTTTTAAAAATGCCCTCCTGGTGGGTCTCCCATCGTGGTACAAACCAGGCCCGACCCTGCTCCGCTTCAGAGACCGGACGAGATCGACCGCGTTCAGGGGGGTGTGGCTGTCGACTCTCCTGGTGGCCCTGGTCTGTAGCCAGGGCTGAGAGCTGTAGTGTGCGAGGTCTGTCCCGGGTCAAGCCAGTGAGGGGCCGGGGCGAAACTCAGAATGCGTTTTTGCCGACCTCCCTGCCACGCCCAGTCGTCTTTCCCAGCAGCCTCTTCTGCCTCTCCAAGGGCAGCCCTCCGCCCTGTGCTGGCGGTGACGGTGGCGACGCTCTTGGTTCTCAGCCTGGTTCTCACAGTTTTAATTCTCTGCTCAGTTTCTGGGGAACAAGGAGCTCACAGCTTCTGAGCCTTTACAGGTGACATTTCTTGTGCTCTTTTGGCCCCACCCCCTCCCATGTCTGGCCCTTCAGGCTGCAGTTGAAGTAGCATCTCCCGGGAGGCCTGCGTTGTTCCGGATGCACAGGCTACAGAAACCGTCTCTCGGCAACTTTGTTTTTTTCTTTTTTCAGGGTTGTTTCAGAAGGGTGGTGGGTATCTTGCACAGTTGCACACTGAAAACAAAGGTCGGATAACTGGTCCACACACAGGGCAGCCCGGGGTCCCAGCCCGACCGACGCCGTCCCCGTGCGTCTCTGCCCAGAGCAGATTTCTGTGGGGCAACTCCAGCGTAGACGAGGTCGCTGCCCTGTGGTCCCGGAGCAAGGGCCCCGTGCGTGGTGGCCCTGCAGAAGCCCTGCGGTGTTCGGGGGGCAGTTAGCCAGTGGGCAGGATGCTGGGCAGACACGCCGGGAGGGGTCGGTGTGAAACCCCTCCTGGCCCTGCTCACCTGCAGGCCAGAGGAGGCAGGCGCCACCGTCCGCCTTGCACAGCGGGGGAGGGGGCTCCAGGGTGACCGCGGGCGCCCTGCAGAGCTGCAGGGTTCCACGAGAGCCCTTCCCGGAAGCACCCAGGCTGGGCCTCCCCGTTGTCCGTAGGCGCCCCCGTGGCTGTGCAGGTGCGGCCTCCTCACCGGCGGCTGGTGCAGGGCGGGCCAGCAGGGGCCTCGCACAGGGTGGGCGGGGTTCCAGGCAGACCTAAGGGGGTGCGGACGTGCGCCCTCTCCTTTTCCCAGGCAGGCGCCCACCGCTGCGCCTTGGTGACGCCTGCAGTCCTGTGTTGTGTCTTGGCCCTGTGTCACCTCCACGGCCCCTTCTCACTGTGCCTCTCCCCTTAGGTGATCGCGGGCTTCAACCGCCTTCGGCAGGAACAGCGGGGTCTCGCGTCCAAGGCCGCGGAGCTGGAGATGGAGCTAAACGAGCACAGGTGAGGCGAGGCAGCCGGAGGTGCAGGCAGCGGGGAGCTGCGTGGCCGTGGCGCAGGGCAGGGCTGCAGCGACGCGGGCCCAAGTGCTGAGGCCGCCCTGTCGCCCTGCCCAGCCTGGTGATCGATACCCTGAAGGAGGTGGATGAGACCCGCAAGTGCTTCCGCATGGTCGGCGGGGTGCTGGTGGAGCGCACCGTCAAGGAGGTGCTGCCCGCCTTGGAGAACAACAAGGAGCAGGTGAGCGAGGGTCCCTGCGCAGAGCCCGGGGCTGCGGAGGGACAGGGGAGGCCAGGGACCGGGAACACGCGGGGGTCTGAGTGGGAGCTTGCCTCGCAGGCTGTGCCGTGTGCGCTGGGCTGCGCTGGGCTGCGTGCCCCGGCCGACGGGGGTGGGCAGCGCTGGGAGCGGGGCTTCTCCCAGGCGAGCCCGCGGCCACCTTCATTCAGGTTACCCGGAGGACCGATTTCAGCACGTCAGCCCCTCTCCTGGGTCAGAGCATTTGGGGAGGGGGCCCGTGAAGAGGCACTTGACAGGCAAGCAGCCCAGCCCTGGCTGGCGTGGCTCAGTGGGCCGCCCGTTCGCTTCCCGGTCACGGCACGTGCCTGGCCTGCAGGCCAGGTCCCCTGTTGGGGGGCGTGCAATCGATGTTTCTCTCCTTCCTTCCCCCTTACTTCCTCTCTCTAAAAATAAGTGAAATCTTAAGCAGCCCAAGTGATTCTCCTGTGCACTGAGGTTTATGGAACGTCGCATTTGAGAAAGCAGCAGCGCGGTAGCGGGAGTGCTGCCAGGTCAAGCTGGGGCCAGAGCCGTCGCGTCTGCTCCACTCCCCCGGCCACTCCCCGCCCCAGGTGGGGGCCCCAGGGTCCTGACGCGGTGTCTGCTGCTTGCCCTCCAGATACAGAAGATCATCGAGACACTGACGCAGCAGCTCCAGGCCAAGGGGAAGGAGCTGAACGAGTTCCGGGAAAAGCACAACATCCGTCTCATGGGGGAGGACGAGAAGCCAGCCAAGGACAACGCAGACGGGGCGGGGGCCAAGGCCAGCTCGGCCGGGGTGCTGGTCTCCTAGGGCCGAGGCCTGTGCGTCTTTTCCCACTCCCACTCCCCCTTCTTCTGATTTCTCTTTGTTGTTATTTTCTCTGCTGTTGTAATATTTTTTTTGTTAATTAAATGTTTTGGTCAGAATGCTTAGCTCCCGCCGGGGCCTCTCCCGCGGGGCCAGGAAGCCCCTGGTGTCTGGCTTTTGGTCCCGTGAGGATCGTGGCTCAGTGAGAGAGGAGGCCCCATGTTCTCCGCTTTCCCCGACACGCAGGATGTGCCTGCTGTTTCCTGCCCTGACCCCAAGGATTCAGACAAATTCCCACCCTTAGGTTGCACTTTAATAGGCATTTGACGGGAGGTGGGCAGCTCCAGTAATAAGGCTCCGTGAGTTCACAGCAGAGCACAGGGTCGACTGGGTGTCCTTGGCGCCGCGCCTTAGAGGAAGAGGTCCAGGACGCAAGCCTGCGGGCTGGCTGTCCGGCCGTCCTCGCCAAAACCCCCCACCAGGTACAGCTGGTCGTTCCAAAGGCAGGTCCGGTGGCCCACACGCTTCACTGCTCGGTCCGCACAGGGGAAGCGGAACCACAGGGCCGGGGACGAGCCTGTTGAGGGAGGCTGGGCTGGGCATAGGGCCGCCTCGGCACCGAGGGCTCTTGGCCCCATTTCCCCCCCACTTGATTGTTGAGCCTCCTCAGAATTGAATGACCTGTGTATCCCTTCAACTGGTCAACGAACTCTTCCTCCTCCCCACCCCTCCCTCTACCCGCTTGCTGTCCACGGTCCCGCGCTCCCAGGTCGGCCATTAGGCCGGCGCTCACGCGTGTCGTAGACATAGAGGTCGTTGCAGACGGCGTCTCTGGCTCTGGTCAGAGTTTCTCCACCGAACAGCACAGCAAAGGGCCCAACCACGGAACAGGAGTGATGCCGAAGTCCCCTGGGCCCCTGCCGGGACCCCTGCCCGCTACTCACAAGCTTTCCCAGCTGTTCCATCAAACGGGGAGCCTCGGGCGGCTCCTCCTGGGGGGAGAAATGAGCTGTAGGGGTCTGGGCGTCACAACTTTAACCGCGTTCTGCCGTGAGCAAGGTGTGCGGAGTACCTTGATCTTTCCGCGACTCCACTGCCCAGCGACTTCTGGGTCAGCTGAGCTGCAGCCGCCAAAGAGCAGGAGCTGGTGACCGGGGCGGGGCCCGGGGGTCGGGAGCAGGGCGGCGCAGTGCCCCGAGCGGGAGGCGGAGTGGCAGCCTTCTTCCGCGTAGCTGCGGGCGTGCACGGACAGGCCCAGTGGGGTTCCGAAAACTGTGTGCCGTCCTGCCCTTTCCCCACCCCTTAGCCAAGGGGCGCATTGAGGCAGGGACGGGATGGTCGCGGGAGAGCTCAGCCATCCCGGGGGAGGAGGCTGCCAGGGCGGGCGCCAGGGGGCCATACCAGTAAGTGCGGGCGCTGGGGTCGAGCCTCAGCGAGTAGATGCTGCCGTAGCGGCGCTGGGTGCGCGTCCCGCCCTCCCGGCCGGCCACCCGCAGCTCGCGATCTGAGAGGCGGGTGCAGGTGTGGCCGCTGAGGCCCACGGGGGGGCGGCTGCCGGGCGCTGGGGTCCACACCTCCCACTCCCCACGCTCCGTGTCCAGCGCGGCCACCGAAGCCAAGCGGCGCGCTCCATCCCAGCCGCCTACGACGCATAGCCAGCGCCCGTGCAGCGCCGCCGCGTCGTGATGGCTGCGCCTCGGGCCAGCCCGCGCCCCGTCTCGCACGGCCAGGCCCCCCGCCACGTCCAAGACCACCGTGTCACCGCTCGGCTCCGTTGCCCCGCCAGTCAGGAGACCCCCCACCACATAGAGCCGGCCCCGCAGCTCGGTACAAGAATGAAAGGCCCGCGCCAGCAGCGCGTCCTGGGCCACCGGGCGCCAGGCCCAACGCGAGGCCCCCGCCCCGCCCGGGCAGGCCGCCGCCATGGCCCAGGGTGCGGGTGGCACTATAGCGCGCCCTCCACGGGTCTCCAGGGCCGCCTGCGCAGCCAGCCCGGCTTTGCTCGCTCCGCCGTCGCCCAGCAACCGGCGCCGCAGTGCGACCACACAGCAAATGGAAGGTCGCAAAGTGCCGGTTACCGTGGCGACGGGAGCCCGGGCGGAGTGGTCGCCGTGGCCGTGGGAGCTGTGCGAGGTGAATAAAGATCCTGGAAGCCGGCTCCCTCCAGCAGGCGCGGGGCAGCGGCCCCTTAGAGGACCCTGTCCCTAGTCAAGGCCCAGCGGGGCGGGAGAGGCCTTGTCGGGCTCCCGGGGGCAGGAGGGGCGCCCTGGCCTCGCTGCCGCCGGACTTCGGGCAGGCGTTTGCTTCTCCGCAGCAGCCCCACCCTCGGCTGCCGGGCTGGGCAAGTGCTCCGCCCGGCCGCTGGGGGGCAGCAGAGCCCGGGCTCTGGAGCTCGCGGTTCCCACAACGCGGGGCACCGCGACCCCAGGACTCGGGTCGAGGGCGGGTGTCGCCCTGATGAGCTGCAGACAGAGCGAGACGCTGACGAAGCGGGAGCGGAGCGAGGAACGGACTCCTGCCCCGCTCGCGTCGTCGTCTATCGCCTGTTCAAGCCAGGCCCCCCGGCGGCTCCTTACCTGCCCGACGCCGCCCCCCCCCCGCCCCGCCCGGACCCAGCGGAGAATGAAGGGGCCCGGACGCGAGCGGCTCGTTTCCGCCACGGCGGGAAGGGCAGACAGATGCCCGGTCCCAGCGGGCGGGCCAGAAGCCGGACCTGCGTCCCCGGACCCGGGCTGCACGCGGGGCGAGCGCTGCCGCTTTTGCCTCTGGTTTCTGCCCCTCGATGCCGCGCGGTCCGGGCCGCAGAGGTGGCCGGGCGGCCCGGGGCCCGGCAGCACGGCCGGGCTTTGCCCGCCCTGGCCCGACTCCGCGTCCGTCCGACCGTGCGAGAAGGCGCGCGGGTGGGGTGCTCAGGGAGGCGCGGCCAAGAACCTGGGGGTCGCCAGCACCTGCGCCCCGCGTGCACCTTAAACCCGAGGCTCCCGCGGAGCTGAGCCATCGCCTCCCCTGAGTCCGTCATGGGGGGCCCCGTTTCCCAGTCCGTGGACAAAGCCTCCAATAAGCCCCCAACTTCCAACGTCTTTGGCTGGAGCTGAAAGCCGGTCTTCTTGAGGCTTGTGACAGGTTGTCGGCCCAGCAGCTGGGTTCGGACCGCCAGGGCCCCAGGACTCAGAGGGCGCTGCGCGGCGGGGGGTCATCCCCCTTCCGTTGTAGCGGCCTGCACTGCCCATGCCCTGCCCTGCCCTGCCCGCGCTGGTGTGGGGGTGACGCTTGATTGTGGGACCCCAGGTGCTTCCCCTGGGGCGGCCGAGCTGTGGCTGACACATCTCTGGTTGGGAGAGGAACCAGCCCCGCGGATGCCAGTGGAGCAGCTGCCAGGCCTGGTGTCACCTGAAGGTGGCTCCTTGGGGACGGAGACAGGACGCAGGGAGCACAGCCTGGGTCCCTCGCAGGACCCACTGTCACCACGTTCTCAGGACCCCATCTTGCCGGACCCCCCCCCCGGCCTCTGCCCTTGCTGCCTCTGCATTGCTGTGTCCTCTGCTGCTGCAGCCGGTTGGGTGGCTCTGGTTCCACCAGGGCTCCTGCTCTTGCCCAGGACTAGCCGGGAGCTCTGTCTGGAACTTTCTAAAAACGCTAGCCCGGCCGGAGACGGGGGCCCAAGAGTGAAGGCCCCTGTCTGCCACCCCGCTCCCTGGTCCCTGACCTCAGAGCCGGGCATTCACGGAAGGCCAGGGCTGGGCTGGGCTGGGCTGGGCTGGGAGCAGGGCCCTGCGAGCAACAGCCACTGACGTGGACCTGGCCGTGGGGCCTGTCCAGCCGCCTCCCCTGCCTGGCAGGCTCCTCAGGGCCAAGCGCATGCGGCGCCCCCGGCCCCACGGGTGCTGTCAGGCGACCGGGCCGGTGGGTCTCATGACAGACGGGGCTGGGCCTGCAGGGCGCTGGGCAGCACGTGGGGCCCTGTGGGAAAAGGGCGTCGCCCCGACGCCTGCGCAGTGACGGGGGACAGCGGGTGCTTTCAGTGGAGGGAGAGACGCTGGGGTCCTGCTTCCTGCGTGGGGTCCCTCCCTGCCCCTCCGTGGGTGCAGAGCCTCCCCTGGGGGTGGAAGCGAGTCCGGGACCCCTGGCCCTCCAGCCCCGTAGCAGTCGGGCCCCCGATGCCTTTCCGTACGAAGCGCAGAGGCCAAGGCAGCCCGCGGAGAAGCAGCGCCGCACAGAAGGGCTGCGTCCGCCCTGATCCGTTCCTGCTCTTGTCCCTCCTCGGCCTGGGACGCGCCGGCCGCCCCCGGCCCAGCCTCTCAGCGCCCCAGGCCCCGCGCCCGCCCCACCCGCTGACCCCCACTCGCACTCTTCCTGCCCGCGCCCCGCCGCGCCCTCCCGGCCCTGCCTGACTCACCGCGAGGGACCATTGACACAAACAAAAATTTCAGCACAACCCACTCCAACCGGTTTGGCTCAGGCGTGCGGCTGCCACGGGCCGGCCGGGCCACAGGCGGGAGCTGGGACGCACGCAGGTCATGAGTGCCCACACCTGTGCCCGGGCCGGATGGACGCGGGTACCGCACGTTCGCCGCGGAGCGGGCGGGTTCCCGTCGTCTGCACCTCTGCCTCTGCCCATCCGGGGCTCCCCGAGGGCAGGGGCCGGGCGAGGGCCTCTGCCCCCTCCCTGGGCTGGCACCGAGCAGTGCGCGCTCACTTGTATCAGAGGAATGAGTGTGCCAGGCAGCTGGGCTGCCACTCAGGCGCGTGTTCGTGCGGAAGATGCCTCTGCGGCTCAAATCGTGCCCCTTCTAGGGCCCGGAACGTGGTCGGGGGAGGCACGCAGGAAATGGGGCTCCGGGCGGAGACCAGGCACGGCCCCGGCAACCCCGCCGCCAGCCGGCATCCCTGGCAGCCCAGGCAGAACCTGCCTCCCGCAGCTTCCCCCGGAAGCAGGACGCAGAGGCCTGAGTGTGAGGACGGCGCCCACGGCCTCCAGCCCCAGCAAGGCCCTGGGACGCTGGATCGCAGCCCAGGGGTGGGGGGAGGCGCGTGGAGGGACGGCGAAAAGGACCCCCCACCAAGGCTACGTCTGTTGGGCACAGGGACCGAGAAAATGTGTGGGTCCCCCCAGGCCACCACACCACCTGCCCAGTGCCACCTCCCGCCGTGCGCCTTGGGGCTGGGGCTGGGGGGACCCTGGCAGGGCCTGGGGACGTGCTGTCAGTGGGAAAGCTGCCGGAGACACAGGGACGGCTTTCCCACCTGCGCCTCAGTTTCCCGGTGGTTTCTGGACTGGGAGAGGTGCGTCCGTGGGAAGGAAAAGAGCCGCTCTGAAACTGCGATAGGATCCAACGTGTGGTAATATAATTATAACGCAGCATGCGCCCCTCCCACGCCCCCCGCCCGGCCCACCCCTGCCGGCCGCGGCGGATCTCCGAGCAGCATCAGGGTGTGGCTGCGCCCAGCCCTCACGCTCGCCCGGCCCCGAGTCCTGAGGAGGGGAAGGGGCTGGCCTGGGTGGACGTGGCAGGAACCAGGGCGCCCGGGCATCCCGCCCGGCTCGGAGGCGAGGTCGCGACGCGGTCGCGGCCCAGAGCCGGGATCGAGGGCCAGCGCGGGATGCGGTGCAGGAGCAGGGAGGGGCGCACGCCGGTCTCCGCCCAGGCCCCGTCCGACACCCCTGCCTTCCTGGATTCTCACCTTCAGCGACGACGTCTTCAGCGCCACACGTGCCAGGGACTGTCCCAACGTGGGTAACTGAGGCGAGATCGTACAGCAAGCCTGGCCTTCACGTTCAGGGGCTGCAGCTGTCACCCGGTCCCTCGGTCCCCCACTTGCTGACTCCCTGGCGCACAGCGGGCTTCAGTCGATGCGGCCTGAGCTGGAGCTTCCCGTCGCGTTGGGGAGATAAGACGCGTGTGGGCTCTAAGTGCATAGACTATAACGAAGGGCTTAGCGGGGGCCGAGGGAGAGCAGGACGAGGCAGTTTAAACCACGGTCGTCCTTGCAAAGTCCAAGACCGTGAGATAAGCGGGTCAAGTGACCGTGGAGAGGGTGGCAAGGGCCCCCTTGTACTTGGGGGACTCCTGGCCAGGTAACCGGGGGTGTGGCGCGGAGAGGGCCCTGCTGGGGAGGCCAGGGAGCCACGGGGCTAATTCGCGGGTCCGTCCCTTGGCATCTCCTACCTGGGGGGGGGCGGGGCATCGGGGCGGGGTGTCCCTCAAGTTCCTGCTTAGGGGTCTGTGAACTAGCTCCCGCCTCGGGGACAGAGCTGTCTGAGCAAGCCGTGAGGGACTGTCCAGCAAGCCCCTTCCGCTCGTCCGAGGGACGACGTTTGGGGCTGGGGCTGCCCTGGGTTCTGCCCTTCCTTGAGTCTGTGGCTGCAACGCTGAGCCCCTCCAGGAGCCTAGGGGACATGCCAAGGCCCTGGGGAGGCAGCAAGGCTGGCAGGGTGTGGGGTGCTTGGGTCCCCTTCCACCCACAGGGCCTTGCCCTATTCCTCCTGGCCTGGCACCTCCCTCCTTGAGCCACCAGCGCCGTCAGCCGCCCCCCCCCGGCCCCCGCCACGCCTCGCCTCCCTGCACAGCCCCTTCCACACATGCTGCCAGGGGAGGCCTGGAGCCGATGATGGGGTCCCGCCCCCGGGTCCTTGCCTCCCGCCCCAGAGCCCATAGCTAGCCCAGGCCTGGGGGCGGTGGCTCTGAGTCTCCGTGCCAGGCCCAGCCCCCAGAGCACCTGTTCTGACCTGCTGAGCAGGTTCCCAGGTTTCTGCCGTAGTTGTAGTTGTCGGCCACAGCGTGGGAAGAAGCTCTGGGGGAGCTCGGAGCTCCGATCACGGCTTCGTGGGGGTACCTGCAGCGGGGTGGGTAGAACGGGCCGGCTCCCCCAGCAGGGCCCCCGCGGGACAGGCAGGTGCGGCGGTGCCAGAGGACTCCGCGGCTTCCTCCTGCCTTGGGGCCGGTGCCCTCCCCAGCTCTCCAGCCGAGCCGGCTCCCAGGGAGCGCTCGGTGGACCTTCGGAAACACTGGGCAGGCCTGCGTTTGGACCAAGGCCCCTGTCCCTGGGAGCCGACATGTGGGGGCCTGAGCTCTGGCTGCCGCTGCTGCTCCTGGCGTCCCTTACAGGTAGGCCTCCCGGGCCTTCGGGACCCCGGCCTGCGCGCCCGGGTCGGGTGTGCACACCCGCCCTGTCTGCCCTGTGAGCCTGGGCCGAGGCCCCCGCCTCTCTCCCAGCCCGGCTGCCGGGCCCCCGAAGGAGCCCGACCCTTGGGGACCCTCCTGCCCCAGGCCAGGTCGCCGTGCCCAGGAGCCTGACCCCCGCGACAGGGGCTGGAGCTGTCTCGGGGGGCAGAGATGAGGTGACCAGTGCAAGGGGCAGGGGTGGCCTGGAGGGGAGCCTGCACTCGGGGGCCCCCGGGAGGAGCCCTCGCCGCCCCGCTGGGCTCGGAACTGCTGACTGGTGCTGGGGCTGACTCAGGCTGAGCTGGTGCTCAGTCATGGGGGCGCAGGACGCCTGGTGCCCGGAGAGAGGACAGGGCGTCTCTCCTCCTCTCCCCATGACGCGCTGGGGCGCAGGACCAGGCACCTGTGGGGGCTGTGGCGCCTCGCTTTCCCTGGATGCGCTACGAGAGGCGGCGGGACCTGGCGGGGGGAGACTTGTCCGGCCGGTGTGGCTTCTGTGGCCGTCCCCGTTCCCCTGCTGTCTGAGCAGATGCCTCGCGTCCCTGAGTCCGATGGACCTAAGGCAGGTGCAGGCGACCAGGACCTCTAGTCCTGGGCGGGGTGGGGGGGGCAGAGCGCATGTGTGCGCACAAGGGTCCACGGTGGGGAGGCAGGGGCCGTGCCCGAGGCGGCGCGTGGCTGGCACAGCCCCTTGGGGGCCTGGGGGCGGCTCCTGGGACAGATCGACCCCCGGCCCTGGGCGCAGCCTGGCCCCGCATGCTGTCCCCGCCTCATCCCCCTCGAAGCTGTCGGGGCGGCGAGGCCTGGACGTGTGGCCCGTGGGGCTGCTCTCCTTTGATCTTAAAATAGAAAGGCAGTTGGCCCCTGTCCCCCACAGCCTCTCTGCCGTTGTCCAGACAGCCCTTCCCACCGGCTGAGGCCAGGAGGGTGGGGCGCGGCTGCCGGGCCAGGCGCTCAGCCGCTTTCCCGCAGGACCTGCCCACACCTCAGGAGCGGAGTCGCGGTGTCTCAGGACTGGGCCGGGATCAAAGCGCTCGCAGCCCCGGCTCCCTCGCTGGGCAGCAGGGTCAGCAGGCAGGCCCGCGAGGCCCGCGGGTCCCTGCGCGCAGAGGCCGCCGGGACGAGGGTCCCTTAAGTGCGGGGCGTCCATGACACACAGCCGTTCTCTCTAAGAGGCGCCCAGGAAGGGGAGCGGAGGCCCCTTCCAGGTGGGGCATCGCCCCGGCCTTGCCTGGTGCCTGACGGAAGGGGCTGCGGGCAGGGCGGCCCTGGAGGCCGGCGCCCAGCCGGTCCCCGCAGGGCAGCGGCCGCGGCCGGCCCCTGCCCAGGGCTGGCGGGCGCTTGGAGGGCTGGGATGCAGACCGCAGGCCCCCCTCGCTGCCGGCCCCCTCCAGCCTTGGCGTCCAGGCAGCCCCTCCAGGGCTCCCGGGACGTGGGAGTGTTTCTTGCCTCTGAAAAAGCCTTGGACTGAGAGAAGCTAGAAGCCTTGGGGTCTGGCCCCATTTCTGGTCTTCCTTTGTTAGGTGACCCTGGGCACCTACAAAGCCCAGGGGCAGGACCAGAGGGTCTCTGTGGCTCTCCTGGGAATGTCCAGCCCCGCGGAAGGGTGCTAGGTGCTGGGAGAGGCGGTCGGTCTGGCAGGGGCGATAAGAGGGGGACGGCCGCACCTCTGAGCGGGGACCAAGGCCAGCCCTGCCCGGGCACGGCCCCCCGCCCCTGCCCCTGCCCCTGCACACCCTCCTGCCTCTGCACATGGGAGCCCCGAAGACCAGGACAGCGCTGGCCCCGGGGCCCTGCCCCACCCCTGACGGGGAGGGAGAGGAGGCGGCCGGGGAGGCGCCTGCTCACAGCTCTTTGTTTCGCTTTAATGGGATGAGTTTCCGGGTGAGGTCCCCTCCCTCCTCCCTCCCAAGTCTGCCAACACCCCTCCAGCAGGGCCCTCTTCCCGGCTCTTTGTCTGTCAGCTGGGCCCGCGGCTCCCAGGGCGAGGGGTTCTCTGAATTCAGAGGTCTGCCCTCTGAGGGCGAGGACCAGCTTTTTGTTGGGGTTGGTTTCCTAGGAAGGGCAGGGCTGTCCCTGGTTTCTCCTCTTGTTTACAGGGTGGGGGGGGCCAGGTCCTTTCCTGCAGGACCTACCCCAACCCAGCGAAGCCAGCGCCCCAGGAGAGCCCTGTGGCCCAGTGACCTCCGTCTCACCCTGGTGATTCAGGGACTGCTAAGGGGACCCCCTGCCGCAGAGATGGTGCAGCCGAGTCAACGGTCCCATGGTCCTGAAACATGTCGATGGGCGGCCTCTCGCGCTGGGGGCCTGGCCCGCAGCCCATGTGCCCTGACTGGGAATCGAACCTGTGACCTTTTGGTGCACAGGCCAGCGCTCAATCCACTGAGCTGCACCAGCCAGGTCCAAACGTGCCCTCTCTGCCCAAGATCTAGGCAGGGAGGAGGCGCGGGGGGCGTGGGAGCCGAGTTGGAGGAGCGGAGAGGAGCTGGGGTGGACGGGGAGCAGAGTGGGAAACCAGCAGGTGAAGTTCGGGGCTGGGGCTGCCTCCCTGGGGGGGCTGTTGGACGGGGAAGGAGCCTGGCCCTGGCCTCCCCCGCCCCCCAGCTCCCCGCCCTGCCCCCCACTGGCCTTTAAAATCGGCCTGTGCCCTGAGAGCTGAGTGGAGGCTGTCGTGTGAGGTGGGGCAGAACTGGCCGCACTGGTTGGGGGGGTGGGCAGGATTTGGGGGGTGGCAGGGATCTCGGGAGGTGGGAGAAGTTGAATTCTGGGTCCCCCACCCACAGTGTGGCTGCTGCGGTGACTCAGCCGGGCTCAGACTGGCTCCGGGGGGTTTAGGGGGCTTATCTGTGCTGGGAGCGCGTCTGGGCCGCGCAGGCTGCCTGCAAGCCTGCCCCGCCCCATTGTTCTCGGCTCCCCCTGTGATGCGTGTGCCCCCCCAGACTCTGATCGGTGGGTGGGCGCTCTGCCCGGGCTGGGAAGCTCTCGCTAAGCTGGGGGCTTAGGACAACGGGGGTGAGCGAGGGAGGTGGAGGGAGCCAGAGGGAGAGTCTCCTGCTTCTCCGAGTTCCTCCGCCCTCCACGGCCACAGCAACGCAGGAGGGGCAAGGACGAGGGCTTGCTTACGTCACCTGTCCTGAGCGGGGGGCCTCAGGGCCCCCCCAGGTCCCTTCTCCCCCCATCTCACCTGCATCCTCCCCCTCTCTGGGCGGGAGGGCTGCGGCTGTGTGGCGAGGGGGCTTTGGGGCTGACACAGGAGCCGAGGCCCCGGCGGGGCAGGCCCCATCTGCCAAACCCTCACCGGACGGCCCGTGCCCGGGTCGCTGGGAGCCCTGGGGAGCGGCTGGGGGTGAGTCCTAGTAGGAGCCTCAGGAGCAAGGGCAGAGTGAGCTCTCATTCCGTTCTGTTGGGGAGCCCTTGGTGGCCGCTTCCCGTCACCTGGGGGGACAGCGACCTCATTTCTGGGCCCCGGCACCTGAGAAGGCTTGGCCCTGCTCTCTGGGCGGAGGCGGGAGGCAGCCAGGGCAACAGTCCAGCCGGACAGAGCCCCCTACCACTGGCCACGGGCAGCTGAGACAGGGGACCAGGCAGACGCCCAAGTGTCCGCCATGCCCTGCGTCTGCAAACCCACGCTCACACACGCCCCTGCCTGGGGCTTCTCTCTGGAAGCGCGAGGGCACAGACCCTGGACTGAAGGCAGGACAGGAGTGCTCACGTGCAACACGCCCCCTTCACGCGAGGAGATGGCCGCACACGCGCGGCACCAGCCCCGAGAGCCGCCTGCACCCCCACTCCCCGCAGCTGCATCCACTTCCCGCCCCTGGCTGGCCACCCTGCCCTCGCCGGGGGCGCAGATGGAGGGGGAGGCCCCTCGTCAGGAAGAGCCTCCCTCCCCAGAGACACTGTCTGTGGCTGCCGGCCTCAGTTTCCCCTCCTGAGACCACAGGCCAGGCCTCACACACATGGGAGAGTTGGGACCCACGCTCAGGGCGGGGAGCAGCCAGCCAGCATCAGCCGGGGACGCAGGCCTGTCTGGGAGCAGGGGGCGTGGGGCCGGCCGGGGTGGGGGAGGCCAGGCAGGGATCCCGTCTGGCCAGTCGGGCCTGTTCTCTCCCTTGCGCAAGGTGTGGCTGCTGGTGGCTGTGGCTCGACGGTAGGTCTGAGTCACCAAGGCTCCTGACCAGCGTCCATCCGGGGCTGCGGGGCGGAGGGCTGGGAGGGTCCGAGGGCGGAGGCCCCGCCGGCAGAGCCCACCAGCCCCAGCGGATGAAGTGGGAGAAGGTGGGGGGCTTGGCCGCACAGAGACCTCCCCAGGCAGGCGGGGCGCCCCCTCTGCTCCGGTGACACCGTGGGGCTGACGCCAGGCAGGCCCTGGGCGGGGGAGGGGAGGCCGTGCTGGCTGCTGGGGCTCCGCCTGGGCCCGGGCTCCCTTCTCCCTCTGCGTGCGAGCCTGCAGGAGGGAGCCGCCCCGGCCGAGGTGCCCCCATAGATGCGGATTTAGGGCGACGGGGGTGTGGGGGCAGCCGCGAGGGACACCCTGTCTCCCGGGCTCCTCGCCGCGCTGAGGTCGGGCTTGTCGCCCGGGATGTGGGTCTGGGCCCCCCCCCGGCAGGGACTCAGGGCAGGGCCCAGGTGTACGCTGGCTGCTCGGTGCCTGCCGGGCCCTAAGGACTGATTTGGGGGCGAGTGTGGGTGACTCGTGGGGCAGGTGGTTGTCAAGGGGAAGGAGGTGAACGGCAAGCGCACCCTGACGCCGTCCCGGGCACCGCGCTCAGAGGGGCTTCGGTGGCCTGCTGGGGAGCTCGGACCCCTGCGGCCCACCCTGACGGCGGCGCGGGCGCAGAGGACGGCGTGGCCCGCCTGCAGCCCACCCTGGCCCGCCCCAGGGGCCCTGCTCCTTCCGGTGCCCACAGGGGGTGCCCGGGGGGGCGGGGCGGGTGGTTAGCTGGGCCTGGCCGGCCGGGCTGGGTGGGACCACGGGACTCGGCGGCTCAGGGCCCTGGTATCCGGCCCTGCAGGTCTGTCCCGTCCCTGGAAAGGGGCCCTCCCAGCTCCCAGCGGCCGCCTCCCTCCCCTGTCCTCCCACTGGTGCAACGGGAGCAGGGCTGCGGGGACCCCCTCCCCGGCCCCAGACTCTGCCTCACTGGGACGCCCTGGTCCCCAGTGGAGGCGTCTCTGCCCCCCCCGCCCACGTGCCTGCCCTGTCCACCGCTTCTTGCTTCCTCTGCAGTGAGCCCACCCGACCAGTCGGCCCTGCCTGCACCGGGCTCGCAGGCTGCCCTGCCCACCCCTCCCAGCCCAGCCCAGCCCAGCCCAGCCCAGCCAGACTGCTGGCTCCTCCTTGGTCCTGGTCCAGTCTCTGGTGTCTCTCGCACCCTCGCTCATTCGCGCTCCCCGTGGTCTGACCGAGCGCCCGCTGTGGGCCCGGAATGCAGGCTGTGTGCTCCCCATGGGACGCGAGGCCCAGCTTCCACTCTGAAGGGCTCGGTCTAGTGGGAAAGGCAGACATGACCCGCGGGACCACGTGCTGTGCGGGGCGAAGGCAGCTGCAGGGGTGGGGTTGGGGGCGGAGGGGCTCATGAGGGTGTCTGCCCGGGGAGCAGGAGCCGCTGGACAGGGAGGAGGGCGCCGGGCAGGGCCGTGGGAACAGGTGCGGGACGGCGGGGCCGTGCGGTGTCTTCGAGTCTGTCCTTGTCCCGCTGTCTGGGCCGTGACCGGATCCTGCTGAGTGTCCCTCGGGGAGCCGCCCCCCTTCTCCACCCACGCCTCAGGGGGCTGGGGGGGCCAGTCCCAGCGCTGACCCGGAGTCAGAGCCCATCCACGCGGGCCCATCGCTGGCTCCACGCGCGCCGGCCTCGCGTTCCGTGGGCCCTCCTTGCAGACAGGGCGGCGGGACAGGCCCTCCCGAGAGCTTCTTGCTGTGCCTTGCCGATGCCCAGCGCTCGGCCTCCGTGCCGGCCGCGCGCCCTGGCCCTGGGGCCGCCGGGCGGACCCTGTCGCCGTGTGTCACCCTGACCTCGTCTCGCTGAGCCTCTGACCCGCGCCTTTCGGCCTCTGGTGACCTGCTCTTGCCTCTCCCAGAGCCTCGACTCCCTCCCACACAGAACACCTCCCTGTCTCCGGGAATCCCAGTCTCTCATCGTCGAGCCTCGAGAAGAATGTCCTTGAAGGGCTTCCCGGCATGGGCTCTTCCCACACACGAGGGCCCTCCACCGCGGCCTGGCCACTGGCCACACGTCCTGCAGGCGTCTGTCCCCTTGGTGGGACAGGCTTGTCTGGGGCTGCCCCGGTTCGGTGCACATGGGCCGTGCACCCCTGGGAGGACCCGAGCTCCCTGAGGGCAGAGGCCGGGTCACAGCCGCCCACCCTGGGCTGGGAGAGGGTGTAACTCGTCCACACCTCGTGGGCGTGGCCTCAGGCAAGTCACTTCCTCCCTGGGTCTCAGTTTCCTCACCGGTTAAATGGTGATGATAACGCCTACCTGCCCAGAAAGTTCTGTGGTGGCCATGAGGTAATGGCCTGATGTGCTGGGCGAGCAGCAACGCTCCAGCTCTCCGTCCCCTCTGCTGCCACCCTCGCTGTGAGCGTCCCCGCCCTGGCCACGGCCGGCCCTAACCCTGGCTCCTCCCTCTGCCCCTGCAGGCCGGTGCCCGGCTGGCGAGCTGGAGACCGCGGACCTGGTGACCGTGGTGCTGGGCCAGGACGCGAGGCTGCCCTGCTTCTACCGGGGGGACCCCGGCGAGCAGGTGGCGCAGGTGGCCTGGGCTCGCCTGGACGCGGGCGCGGGCCCCCAGGAGCTGGCGCTGCTGCACGCCCAGTACGGGCTGCACGTGAGCCCGGCCTACGAGGGCCGCGTGGAGCAGCCGCCGCAGCCGCGGAGCCCCCTGGACGGCACGGTGCTGCTGCGGAACGCGGTGCAGGCGGACGAGGGCGAGTATGAGTGCCGCGTCAGCACCTTCCCGGCCGGCAGTTTCCAGGCGCGGCTGCAGCTCCGCGTGCTGGGTAAGAGGAGCGAGAGGCTTTCAGGAGCCAAAGCGGCGCCCTGCGCACGGGAGGGCGCCCCGTGTAGCCCGTCACCCCCTCCCACGCAATCCAGAGCTTCCCTCCAGGTGGCCCCAGCGCCGGGATCCCCTGGGTCTGCCTCGGGGAGGATCCGCTTCTTTGTGGGGCTTCCCCCCCCCCAACCCCCTGCTGACCTGAAACCTCCCTCTTGGTTTCTTCCAACCTGTGGGGCGATAGGCCCGCTGGTCCTGTCCCGCCTGTGCCCCCTCCCCGCTGCCTGCACCAGCCCGGCCCCCCGGACCGCGCCCCTCGGTCCCCTGCCGGACGCCTTCCGAGGCCTCCGCCCCATTCCCACCCAGCTCAGGCCTGGGCCCACAGGGATGGTCCAGCGGCCACATTTCAGAGCTGAGAGCCCGGCCCGGAGGCTCCGTTGGTTAAAGCGTCTAAAGCATCGTCCCTGATGCGCCAAGGTTGCGGGTTCCACCTCAGGTCAGGGCACATGCAAGCACCTCCCTCTCTCTCCCTTTCTCTCACTCAAAAAGAGAAAAAAGAAAAAAAAGACCCAAAGAGCTTCCTCCTGCTCCACCCAACTCCCTTCTCCCAACTGAACTCGCTGGTTTTTACAGCATTTAAAGACACTCTTTCAAAGCCACCTTCAAGTGGACATGCAGGCCCAGGTAGGGCCAGGAGGGGCAAATGTCTTTTTGGTCTGGAACCTTGGGGAACGTGGTCAAGGGCCACAGCTGTCCTTCAAGGCACCACGTGGCCCTGCGGGCGCTCGCGGTCACTGGAGCCCGAGGCCTACGGCCCAGCTAAGCCGCCTCCGTCCTGTGCTTGGGCTGTGAATATTATGAAGGTGACAAAGGCTTTACAGTGTCCCTTTACCCACCAGCCTTGCAGAAAAATGCACGTGTGAACCAGGCGTCAGCACCTAAGAGCTGCTGACCTAGCGGCAAGCCATTGAGCCTCCCGAGCCCCAGGGTCCTCACCTGCGAGCCAGGGATAACACCTGTGCACCTCGCTGGAGCGGTGACAGGAAGGAACGAGATAATATTTGTAAAGTGTTTAGCGGAATCCTTGGCATATAGGAAGTGCTTAGGAAACGCTGCCTATTATTATATACATGTTATCTGGTTAGATTTTAAGTGACTTCATTGTTTTTATTCAAAAATGACCAGCGCTTATGGTAATACAAGACCCTGCCACTCATCTGGTATCTTTGCTGGTGAGACAGGAGGAGAGAGGGGCTGAGCTGGGAGGGGAGGGGCGGGGCCTCCTGACGGGCAGGCCGAGTGTGACCCCGCCCCCTCCGCCCGCAGTGCCTCCCCTGCCCTCACTGAACCCGGGCCCCGCGCTGGAAGAAGGCCAGGGCCTGACCCTGGCCGCCTCCTGCACAGCAGAGGGCAGCCCGATCCCCACCGTGACCTGGGACACAGAGGTCAAGGGCACGCTGTACAACCGCTCCTTCGCACACGCCCGCTCAGCCGCCTTCACCTCCGAGTTCCACCTGGTGCCCAGCCGCAGCATGAACGGGCAGCCGCTGACCTGCGTGGTGTCCCACCCGGGCCTGCCCCAGGACCAGCGGATCACCCACATCCTCCAAGTGGCCTGTGAGTCGGGGGCCTCGGACGATGGGAGAGGCGCTGAGGCGCCCGCAGCCGCACCAGTCGGGCGGGCCGGCCGGGGCCCCGCGGCCACAGCCCACGGCTGCGAGAGCACCAGTCCCGGCGCCGAGGGCCGGGGTGCAGCCACCCCGAGGGCCTTGGGCCTCTCGGGCCTTCACTGCCTGGCTCCCCGCAAAGGCAGTTAGTTGCCTGCTTCCCAGGGCTGCTGGGAGGATCGCGTGCCACCTTGGGACTGGGACTAGAGACAGATGTGGGACGGCCCGGCCCTGCTGTTTACCTGCTGCCGCTCAGTCTCACGGGGCAGGGAGTCACATCGCCCACCTTCTGGGGTTCCGGGGGGCGGGGAACTGCGAGCGGGCGCGCAAGGCGCAGGGAAGGCGCAGAGAAGGCGCCGGGAACGGCCGGCGTTTCCCCGCGTCACGCTGGAGCCTCTGCAGGGAGGCGACTGCTTTCTGTGGGCGCTGACCCAGCACGGGGCACGACGTGGGTCCTCAACAGACGTTTGTTAAGGGAGTGAATGAAGCATCGGGTTGTTTAGCTTTCCAGGAGCCAGGGGGCATGCACAGCACAGCACCGGCTCCGCGGGGCACCCTGGGGCGTGGGCACGGGAGGCCACTGCAGACACTCTCAGCTCCATGGCAGCAGGAGCCCCGTGGTGACGCCCTGGCCGGGCGCCCGAAGAGCAGGGAGCCGAGGGCGGGGAGGCTTCCAGGCAGGGTGGGGCCTGGCGAGGGGCCTCGGGGGGCGCGAGATCAAAGCCGTGTCCCCGTGTTTCTCCCCAGTCCTTGCGGAGGCCTCTGTGAGGGGCCTGGAAGACAAGAAGATGTGGCAGGTGGGCAGGGAGGGCGCGGCGCTCAAGTGCCTGAGCGAGGGGCAGCCCCCTCCCTCCTACAACTGGACACGGTAAGCCCCGGGCAGGGCGCTGCGCTGGGGGCCGCGCTGGGGGCCGCGCTGGGGGCCAGGGCCGCCCCTCCGAGGCTGGCGTGTCTCGTTATGGGCTAGGACAACGTACGCTGAGCCCCAGATAAACTGGGGTGCATGCGCAGACCGACACGCGAACACGCGTGCTCACCAGACGCTGCCGGCTTGCCCCGGGAGTCGTGACCACGTGGCCATCGCAGGGAGCGAGCTACTGAAGACCTTGGCTCTTTTCCCAACTTTTAACCGATAACGAAGAATCCAGTACTTAAATATCAATATTTTACGTAACGCCCTAAAGTGGCTAAGATGAAACAAGACCCGACTGCCACCGCCGTTGGAGCCCCAGCCCGGCCCCGCCCCCAGCCGTCCCCTCAGGGGGGCCTGGCCCTTTCCAGGGTCCAGTGGCCAGGGCCTCGGGGAGGGTCAGGGGCACGTGTGCGAGCCCGTGGCGGGCACATGGCCTCGTGCCCGGGATCTGCCCGAGCGCAGCGGCAGCCCCGGGGGACGGTGGCGCCAGTCCCTTCGTCCAAGTCTGTCGGGCCGGACAGGAGTGCAGTGTCCTGCTGTGCGGGCTTCATGCCGTGTGTGTGCCTGGTGCCCAGCGCCGGGTGACACAGGCCCGCTGGAGCGTGTGGGACGGCACGCGTGGGGGGTGCCCGGGTCAGGCCGGGCGGCAGGGAAAGGGGCCTCTGCCTGGGCCTGCCTGGGGGAGGGAGGGGCACCGTGGGAACAGCGGGCTTGGGGCAACGACAGGGGAAGCGCGGCCTGGGCATGTCGGGCGGTGGCGGCCTCAGCCTGCCCAGCCGGCACCCATCGGCTTCCCTGTCCCCCAGGCTGGACGGGCCGCTGCCGAGCGGGGCGCGTGTGGACGGGGACACCCTGGGCTTTCCCCCGCTGGCCCCAGAGCACAGCGGCGTCTACGTCTGCCACGTCAGCAACAAGCTGTCCTCGAAGGACTCTCGGGTCACGGTGGAGGTCGTCGGTGAGCCCGGGCGCAGAGGCCGAGGAGCAAACCGGAGGGGGCGTGACCGCGTGTCTGCGGCAGAGGGTCGGGCTGGGGGGCTGGTTGGGCGTGCGCTTTGTGAGGACCCTGTGTGGGGGCGCATCGGGGACCCGGGAGTCGGTCTCGACCGCGGCCTGTCTCCCCCAGACCCAGACGAGCCCGAGGGCAAGCAGGTGGACGTGGTGTCGGCCTCGGTGGTGGCGGTGGGCGTGATCGCGGCGCTGCTCCTGTGCCTTCTGGTGGTGGTGGTGCTGCTGATGTCGTTGTACCACCGGCGCAAGGCCCAGCAGATGACCCAGAAATTGTGAGTCCTGGCCACTCCGGGGTCGGGAGAGCCGAGCCGGGGACAAAGGGGGGCCGGCGGCAGGGGGGCCAGGACCAGGGAGGGAGAGGGGACTGCGTGTCGGCGTCTGGGGAGGGACGGACCAGCGGCGAGCGGGGCGGGCTTTGGGGAGGTGACAGAGCTTGGAGCCTGGACCAGGGCTGGGCCGGGCGACGGGAGCCACCCCCTGACCCACAGGCCCGCCCGGGTGTCCGCACAGGCACACGCGTGCACGCCCACACGCGTGCCGCGGCCGCTCGGTCGCACTGGCAGGGACAGCACCGCCCACGGCCCCGTGTCCTGGCCACGGGGCTCATGGTGGAGGCCCCCGCGGCCCCGCCCCTGACCAGGGGTGTCTTTCCCAGTGAGGAGGAGCTGACCCTCACCAGGGAGAACTCCATCCGGAGGATGCATTCCCACCACACGGACCCCCGGAACCAGGTGCGTGCCCCCGCTGACCAGGAGCACGGCCCTCCACGCTGCCGACTCCCGTGGGGGCTGGGCGGGGGCGCCGGGGGGGGGCGTGGCTGCTGCTTTGCGTCTCCTGGGCGCCTGGGGAAGCCACCGGCGGCGGCGCTGGTCCCAGGCTGGGGCTGGGCGCTTGGACGGAGGCGACGGCGCTGGTCTCCCAAAGAGAAGGGACGCGCGGCCGGGCCGGGCGGTGGGCAGGGGGGAGGCCGGTGCGGCCGGGTGCCGGGAGGCCGAGCCCCATCCTGACTCCTCCCCGTCCGGGCCCTGCAGCCGGACGAAAGTGTAGGGCTGAGAGCCGAGGGCCACCCCGATAGTCTCAAGGACAACAGTAGCTGCTCTGTGATGGTGAGGCCCCCGGCCCCACCGGTGTCCCCGCCTCTCTCCTCAGGCCCCTGTCCTGGTCCTCGTGCTGGGGGCCAGTGGCCCGTCTCCTGTCCCTCTCGCCTCGGCCTGGCTCCGGCTGCCGGCCCCCACCCCGGCTCTGCCTTCGTCCCTATCTCTGTCCCCAGTCCCCCACCCAACGCTGGCTCCCAGCTCCTCCTCTGGTCCCCTGTGCCTCTGAGACAGCCATGCCCCCGGCCCTGCTGGCGCCTGCCCCGGGACCCTGCCTTGCCCCACCGGCCCCCTCGGGTCTGCCTGCCCGTCCTGGCTCCTGACGAGCCCCCACCCTCGGCCCGCAGAGTGAAGAGCCGGAGGGCCGCAGCTACTCCACACTGACCACGGTGAGGGAGATAGAGACGCAAACTGAGCTGCTGTCCCCGGGCTCCGAGCGGGCGGAGGAGGAGGAGGATCGCGACGAAGGCATCAAGCAGGCCATGAACCACTTCGTGCAGGAGAACGGGACGCTGAGGGCCAAGCCCACGGGCAACGGCATCTACATCAACGGGCGGGGGCACCTGGTCTGACCCAGGCCCGCCTCCCCGAAGCCTGGCTTCCTCTGCTGACACGGGGGCTCTCGGCGCATCCCGGGGCCCCCAGCACCCACAGACTGCTCGCCCTTTCCCTCCAGCCCCCGTGGGCTGCATCCCTGCCCCGTGCGTGCCGGTCACTGTGAGCGTGAGTGTAAGTGTTGGCTGAGTGTGTGCCTGGGGGGTGACTGTGCCGTGTGCCGAGCCCGGCGCCGCTGGGCCCCCGGCGCGGGCGGCTGTGTGGACAGGGCCGTCTGTGGAGCGGCGTGACCTCCACCTGCGAACGCAGGCGTTTGCTTCCGACCCCAGAGCAGTGTTAGCGAAGCAGAGGCCGGAGGCGGGCGGTGGGGACGGCAGGCCGTGCCCAGGTGTGCGGGCGCAGCTGGAGCTGCGGCCTGGCCTCCCGAGGCGGGAGCTGGGCTCCCACACCTGCAAGACGAGTATGAAGCCACCTCTGGGGTCCGCGGAGACTCCAGCTGTCACAGAAGAAGCCCTCCGCCCCCTGGCGGCCTTGGGGCCTGCTGCACGTACCTGTTGTCTTTAAGGACTAATGCTCTGATCCTTTAAGAAGAAAAAGACTTAAACAGACTTTTGAATGAAGTCATTCCCACCTCGAGTGGGGCCAGCCGGTGCCGAGTTCAGCCCCGCTCAGACCCCGCACGGGCTCACTCCCTGTGGTTCCGAAACGCGCTCCCCTGGGGCGCCTGGACCCAGGCGGCCTCCCGGAGGGTGGGGGGTGGCCGAGCTGGCGGGGCCCGAGGCTGTCAGCCTGCGCGTGGCCCCTGCCCCCCCATCGCCGGCTCCGCTGTCCTCTTGGCTATGTCCACCGTGGCCTGAGTGTCCGTGGGCGGTTGTGGGACTTGGTGCTGAGGGCTCCTGACTCGGTCGTTGAGGAAAGAGGGCGGGGGTTCAGGGTGCGCCAAGGAGCTGCTGGGGGCGAGACGGTCCCTGTCCCCCGGGGTCCTGGGGCCGCCACCTCAGGGCTGTCCTGGTGGTTTCTCTCGGGGGAGACCGGGTTTAGAGAAGCCCTGTTTCTGCCCGGGCCTCCCGAGCACACGCAGCCCGAATACCTCGACTGGGTGCCCAAACCCTGCCCGGCTCACATGCTGTGCGTTTCTGGGCCAAAGGAAAGACCCCCCCGCCCCTGGCCCCCCAGACTGCCCGGGACGGTGGATCTGGCTTCCTCGTATGTACATTCTATGTAAATATGTGCACATTTGTACATATAAAACGATACTCTGTTTTTAAATAAACAGATAGAAAACACCGGTTCTGCCTGGTCCCTGACTCGCCCGCACAGCGCGTGAGCCCTGAGCCCCTGATCGCTGTCTGAGCGCCACCGCCCCCTGCCGCCCCAGGAAGGCGGGGGCTGGGCGCCTGTGGCCGGGAGGGGGCGGGAGAGGGGCACACGCACGCAAGGCCCGCCGGTGAGTCCCCAGGGTGGGGGGCCTGCGCGCTCCAGAGAGGCAGACGGAGAAACCAGCCCCGAAGGAGGTCCCCGGAGCGTCACAGTTGGAAGGGTTTAGGGTCGCCCGCGCGCCGAGGCTCGGGACGTCCCAGGGGGCCCGGCCCCAGCGTGCCCCGTCCTGTGTGTGCTTGGCGCAGAGGCGTGCGGCCTTGCTCCCAGGTCGGCCTCCGGTCTCCACCCGGGACCCCTGGGTGCGGGTCTCCAAGGGCGTGTCACCTGCTGAGGCGCCAGCACCTGCCCAGGGCGCTGACATCAGCAGCCGCAGCCAATGAGCGAAGCCGGCCGTGGGTGAGGATGTGAGTGTCGGCCGCCTCCCCCACCCGGCCCTGTGGTTGCAGAGATGCTCTAACAGGAAGCGGGTTCGGGGCGCTGCACAGCTTCCTGCCCGGCCCAAGCGGGCGAGAGGGGCAAGTGCCAGGTTGGCCACGAGACACAGCTTTGTGCCAGGGTCCCAGCACTTCCTCTCCCACAGCCACTTCCGCGTGGCCAGCGGGGCCCCGGAGGCAGGAGCTGTGGCCTGTGGCCCAGGCCGCCCTCCACCCCCAGCTCAGAGCCCTGCCCCGCGGGACCAGGCCAAGCCCGGAGGCCGGCTTGGGCCTTCATGGGGGACCGGTAGGCCAAAGGCCCTGGGGGACAGAGGTGGCTGGGCCGGCGACCCGGGGCTCCAGCCATGAAGTCTCGGCAGAAAGGAAAGAAGAAGGGCGGCTCGAAGGAGCGGGTGTTCGGGTGTGACCTGCAGGAGCACCTGCAGCTCTCGGGCCAGGAGGGTAAGGAGGCGACGTGGCCGCCGGCCGCAGGGGCGGCGTCCCCGGGAACGGGCTTGGGGCTGCTGGGCGGGCGAGGCGGGGAGCTGCTGGGGGAGAAGGCAGGAGGCTCTGTGCGCCGCTGGGGACAGGCGAGGGTGGCGGGGGGTGACGTCAGGCCCTGGGGTCTGAAGGAAAGGGGCCTGATGAGGCCGCCCAGTCTGAGGAGGCAGGCGGGGCCGGGGGCCTGGCGGGGCTGAGGTGTGCGCCGGCCCCTTCGCAGCCTTGCGGGGCCACAGGTGCGGAGTCAGGGTGGGAGGCACACCCTTCTCCCTCTGGGCTTCCCCTGGGCGCAGGGGCAGCCCGTCCCCAGAGGAGGGCCGGGGAGAAGCTGTGACGTGGGGGGAGCCCGCCGGAGGCCGGGCGCGGGGGTGGGTGGAGGCGCACGGGAGGGTGGCGGGTCCTGTCCGAGGGCTCCCCGGCTTCCTCCAGCAGTGCCCTGGGGGCCTCGGGGGGCAGCGGGGCCAGGGTCGGCCACGGCAGCGCCAGGCCCGCTGTGCTCTGCGCCGGGCAGGGAGCGGCCACTCCGCGTGCTTCGCAGTTTGCCCTGAAGTGGAGCGCAGGTGTCCTGGCCGCCCAGCCCAGCCCAGCCCGTGTTGGGCACCACCAGCTCCTCCCAGAGAAGGGCCCTTCTTCCCCCCACCCCACCCCCACCCAATCTGTCATTTCCTCTTTGCTCTCTCCTCACTCGGGGCTGTGGCCCCTGCAGTGCAGGCAGGGGCCAGGGTTCCTGCTCGTTTCCTGCTCAGGGCCCCGCCCCGCATCCCCGACACCTTCTTCCCCTTTTCTCCTCCCTCCGCAGCCCCGTCCCGCTCGGCTCGGGAAGGGAAAGCCCGGGCCCTGAGGAGGAGTGCGGGACGCGGGAGCGGGCTGTCTGCGCCCTGCTCCTCTCCACGGGCCACGCCCGGCTGCTCCTGAGGGGCTCAGCTGGGGCTTAGGCCAAGGGCACAGGCGGGAAGGGGGCTGGCTCTCCCGCGGCCCCGTTCTCTGCACCCCCAGCCCTTCCTCTTGGTCCTGGCGCCGCCCTTCCTTGCAGGCCCGCATCCACATGCAGCACAGACCCTGCTCCGGTCACCCCTGCCCACCTCGCCGGCCAGTGAGGGGCCCCTTCTCCGGGAGGACAGACTCCTGGCTGCTGGGCTCTGACCTCCGCGCTGCCCAGCGGCGGGGAGAGGCCGCCCTGCGCCTCTGGGCCTCGCCTGAGCCCGAGGGTGGAGGGCCCTTGGGCACCAGGGCGACAGTGTCGGGCCCCTCCCCCGCCCCCCGGCACAGACCGGTGGAGGTGGGAGAGTGCAGGGCGCGGCGGCGGCTTCTCTCCAACCCAAGACCCCGCGAAAACGTGATGCCCGGCCGGTGGAGACCTGTGCTTCTGGTTGATTTGTCCTCTGATTAGCTCGGTTCCTGCAGAGACACACCTGTCTCGACACCTTCTCCCAGCCCCTGGCCCCAGGCGGGTCCTGATCTCTGTCCCCCCGCAGCTCCCGGCCCCTCCTCCGCGACCTGCCCCACACGCCTCTGACTCTGCCTCCCCTGCCCTGTCTCCAGTCTCTCCCTCCGGCCCATCTCTCTGACCACCAGCTCCTCGACTGCCCCGCTCCTTGACCCATTTCCTCTGTGGCTCTGATGCCCCAGGGCCCCGAATATCCCCTTGAAGGGCCTTCCCCGGAGGTTGGCCTGTCTGCTTGGCTGCAGTTCCTGTGCAGAGGACCTGGGGTTGCGGTGGCAGCAGACTGTGCATGAGTCTTGTGGTAGCAAAACTGGGTGTTGCCTCGGGCCCCCGAGAGCACAGTTACGCCTGGCACAGCACCGGGGACCCGAGCTCGGGGACCCCCGCCAGGGACACAGGTCCTGGGGAGGGACGGTGACCCAGGGCCAGGAACGAGAGCAGGTGGGAGAGGGGACTGGGCTGGGGCAGTTAAGGAAGCTTTCACTCTCAAGGAGATGGGTGCCAGCGGACACTTGCACAGCCTCGGGGTGAAGACTCCCTTGGCTTGTGCGGCCACGGTGCCTTTCTTGTCCCACCCAAGTCCTGGCTCTGGGGTGCAGGAGGGCAAAGGGCGTGGACGCCAGGTCACGAGAGGAGGGTTTTCAATCCTAGTTGATGGATTGATTATTTCCTTCATTCTGTATTTCCGTCTCACTTAATTTCACGAAGAGCTTGGAAGGGACGGCTTCCAAAACCCAGAACTTTAGACAAACAGCCAATGGGTGAAGGAACTAGGCTGAAGGGAGAAGCAGAGGGAGGGCGAGGCCGGTGCTCAGAAACGTGCACCAGGTTCCCTGGCTCCCGAGGCGGCTCCGAGCCTCCTGGAGACGAAAGCGGAGGAAACGTGAGCAGGTGCGAGACTCCGTGAGAAATGCCGGACGGGCGGCCCGGGGGGCGCGGGGCTTCCTGACAGGGGCGCGTGGGCTCTGCGGGGCCTCGGGTGGCGGGGGGACGCGGTGTTTTAGCCTCGGCCATGTTCTGTACTGTCTCCGCGAGAAGTCGCCGATCCTCGTAAGGGACGGGCCATGAACCGCATCCCTCGATAAACGCTCACCGAGCCTATGCTGCGCCTCAGCGCTGTGCTGGGCGCTGGCGAGGGCGTCGCATTCTGTACACAGGTGTAGAGAGAAAAGACACGAACCCTGACAAAGAGCCACGAGCCCTGCAGCACAGGCACGGAGGGAGGGCCGTGCCGCTGCCCTGGTGACAGGTCTGGGCCGGGGAGGGGTGTCTGAGGGGTGTCTGGAGGACCGCGCAGGCGTCCCCGGCGGTGCAGTCCGAGGGGAGCGTGTCTCCAGGCCAGAGGAGCCTGGGTGGACAGCGGGGCCAGGCCGCGTTCGCGGCGTAGCCGGGGGGCTGGGCCCGAGGCCTGCGGGGGGCCGGTGGGCGCGGCGGCTGGAAGGCAGCTCAGACCTGACTTGTGAAGGGCCTTCCATTCCACGCTGAGGAGCCGATGTTTTATTCCGTGTCTTCGAGGTGAGCAATGCGGATTGGGGTGAAGCCAGGCGCTTATATTGCAAAGAGTTCAAAACAGGGAGTTGTGGAGTTGGGGTGCGACCGGTCAGCTTGGAGGGGTCCCCTGTATGTGGCGCTGGTCGGCTGGCGAGCGGACGCGGAGACTTGACCCTGTTCCTGAGGGGCGTACAGTCCGGTGACAGAGGAGGGGCCGGCCCGGGCGTGGGGGGGACGCCGTGCAGCTTTCTGAGCTTCCGGAATCGCGCCCTGGCTCCCGCGGGACGGCCCGCGCGCGCTCTTGCCCTCCGCTCCTTGGTTGTTCTTTCTGCCAAGTGGGGATGAGAACACGCCATGCGCACGCCCCTCTGGCCCACGGGAGCGTCTCGTCCGCCCGGCCCCGCCCCACCCGAAGGGCACTGTGTCGCGAACTTTCTGGGACGGAGCTAACGTCCACGCGCTGGCTCAGCGGAGCGGGCGCTTCGCAGCCTTCCCGCGGCCCGGCCCGCGGCGGCCAGACTCAGGCTGCAGGCGGCCTTGGCCGTGCGTTGACGCCGGAACACTTCCCACCGGATGGTCGCCCCTTTGAAAAGTCCAGAGAAGCAAGTGGCTTCCACGCAGGCGGGACTTTGTAACAGGAGCGGCCGCCTGGGGCGGCAGAGCGCCCCCACCCCCGGGGCCAAGCTGCGCTCCGCGCTCAGCGCTCCGCGCCCCGCGCCCCGCGCCCCGCGCCCCGCGGGCAGAAGGTTGGAGGCGATAATCTCCGGACAAGCCGCGCCCCCCGGCGCTGCCCTGAGCCTCCCCGGCCGCGCTGCTGACGCTCCCGTTTCCCAGGCCCGGGTCCCTCTGACTCCTCCGTGTCGCTCGTGTGTCCGCAGTGCCCCAGGTGCTCAGGAGCTGCGCCGAGTTTGTGGAGGAGCACGGAGTGGTGGACGGGATCTACCGCCTCTCGGGCGTCTCCTCCAACATCCAGAGGCTCCGGTGAGTCAGGCGGTTTGGGGAGGGCCCGCGGCCGGGGCGCCAGAGGAGAAAGAAGCACAGGCGCCGGCGCTGCCGCGAGGAGGCCCGCGGCCCGGCTCGGCTCAGGGGAGGCCGGGACCACCGCCGCCGCCCCAGGCCGGCGCGCACCCTTCCGCCCCCACATACACCCGCCCAGCTTTTAAACAAATTTAGATGTAATTCTCCTGCCATGAAATCCACCATTGAAACACGTACAGCCCTGGCGGCCCTGGCGGGTGGCTTGGTTAGTAGGAATGTCGCTGCTACACCCAAAGGCTGGGGGCTCAATCCCTGGCCGGGGCGCCTGCGGGAAGCAACGGATGGGTGTTTCTTTCTCTCTCTTTCTTCCTCCCTCTCTATAGTCAATGAGCGTGTCCTCAGGTGAGGGTTGGGGCGGAAATGTACATTTCAGTGGTTTTTAGTATATTCACAGGTCGTGCGGCCCTCACCTCTAATTCCCAGAAGCAGCCTCCGGCGCCCGCGGCCATCTTGCCACATCCGCGCCCCAGCGCCAGGCCACCCATAGTCGGGACGGATTTTCCTCTGCTCATTTCACACGGACAGGCCATATGTAACCTTGTGTGTCTGGCTTTCTTTACTTGGCGTGTTTTCCAGGTCCACGTGTGTTGTTGCATGTACCAGTACTTCATTCCTTCTCTGTGGCTGAACGATGTTCCACTGCATGGCTTGACCGCATTTACTGCATTCACTCATCAGTTAATGGCTACCTGGGTTGTTTCCGCCTGTTGTCTGTGAAGGTGCCATAAACCACTTGTGCACACGGGTCTGCGCTGACATGTGCGCTCCGTCCTCTGGAGTGTGCACGGAGGAGTGGGATTGCTGGGTCGTGTGGTAACTCTCTGCTGAACAGCAGTTGCATCATTTTACAGTCCCTCCAGCACCATCCCAGTGTCCCCACCTCCCTGCCAACCCTTGTTACTCTGTGTCTTTTTTTATTACAGCCCCCCTAGGGGGTGTGCAGTGATATTTCATCTCCATTTGCAATTCTTTAATAGCTGATGATGTGGAACATCTTGTGTGCTCATTGACCATTTGCATATCCTCTTCGGAGAGACGTCTGTTCCAATCGTCTGTTCGTTTTCCAGCTGGGTTGTTTATCTCTTGGGAATAGTAAAAGTTCTTTATGTTCCGGATATTAGACACTTTATCGAATCCGATTTACAAACAATTTCTCCCATTCTATGGGTTTTCCTCGCTTTCTCCACAGTGGCCTTTGACACACACTAGTTTGTCATTTCAGTGTTCAATGTTTTGTTTCTTTGGTTGCCTGTGCTTTTGGTGTCGTATCCCAGGTTAGAGAGATCCACACTTACCTTTCTTTCTAAGGTTACGCTCTCCCATCTTTCTGTGTACCCAGAGACACACCCAGGCTCGTCCCCCACTTCTACTGACCCCTACACACGCCCACATTGCTACGCCTGCAGCCACGTCCCGACGGGGATCCCTGTCCCCAAGCTGGCCCTCCTCACGCCCGCCCTGCACGCCAACATGCACAGCCTGATCTCCTCCTTCCGCGCCCCACGCAGGCTGGCCCTCGAGCCTGCCTGGAGCCTCTCTGCAGCTCCCTCGTTGCTCCTGGCGCCCAGCGCTCCTGACCACTCTGCACCTCCCCAGGCAGGAATTTGAGGCAGAGCGGAAGCCGGACCTGCGGCGAGATGTTTACCTGCAAGACATCCACTGTGTGTCCTCCCTGTGCAAGGCCTACTTCAGGGAACTGCCGGACCCCCTGCTCACTTACCGGCTCTATGACAAGTTTGCTGTGAGTTGAGAGGCTGGGGGTGGCAGGGGGGCTGAGGTTGGTGGAAACACGGCCCCGGGGGACCCTGGACAGCAGGGGCCTGCCGTCTACCCACACTGGCTGAACTGGGGTGGGGCGGGGGGGGGCGAGGCCTCTGCGGACCCCGTGGAGCAGCTCCACGGCCAGGGGCGCCCACGGAAGGGCATGGATGGATTCCAGTGCCAGGGTGTTGCCGACAGAGGACGGCGAGGCAGGGACTGACAGTGAGTTGTTCGACGTCATAAAGCCGTTAAGGGGCATAGCCAGGATTCGGCTGCGGGTCCGTGGGCCCCAGATTCGGAGCTCCCCCCGCTGCCAGTGTGAGTCGGCTCTGAGTCGGGGACGGTGCGGGGTAGCACGGCTGTTCCTCCGGGTCCGTCTCAGAGCTCCGGGGAGGAAGCGGGGCAGGCTGGGGCACTGACTCCTGCTTCTTGAACTACACCCCCCACCCCCACCCATCAGGAGGCTGTGGCGGTGCAACTGGAGCCCGAGCGCTTGGTCAAGATCCTAGAGGTGCTTCGAGAGCTCCCCGTCCCAAACTACAGGTGCGTGGGGCTCCCCTGCACAGCCCAGGCTCCCTCCACCTGCGGCCTTGACGTGTCCTTTCTCTCTCAGCTCCCAGGCCCCAGCCTTACTCCTGCTCCCTGACCCCCGTGTGACCCCGACCCCTGCTGTCCCCTCTGCAGGACCCTGGAGTTCCTCATGCGCCACTTGGTGCACATGGCCTCGTTCAGCGCCCAGACCAACATGCACGCCCGCAACCTGGCCATCGTGTGGGCTCCCAACCTGCTGAGGTGGGCGCGTGTGTGGGCGGGTCCTGGCGGAGCCGAGCCCCAGTGGGCGGCCGCAGGGCGGGGTGGCTGGGTGGGTGCGCTGGAGCAGGGACTGAGGGTCTCACGGAGCCCAGGGGGACAGAGGAAGGCTCAGGGTTACACCCAGTGGGATGGGCCCCATGCCTTTACTGCCAGCTCTGAGCTGGGGGAAAGTCCCTAAGGGCAGGGCCTTTGCGTTTCCTTACACTGTGTCACTGAGCTCAGGGCCGGAAAGAGACGGGTCCTTGTCGAGGAGCAAATGTCTTGCGGCCTACGGAGAACTGGCCTGTTTATCACTCCCTGCGGTGCAAGCCGACTATGAGAAATCCTGACATTCGTTATAAACAGGCCCCTGGTGTGCAAAGGAAGTAGAGATTAGTTCTGAGGAGGGTGTCCAAGAAGGCTTCCTGGAGGAGGTGGCATTGGAGCTGAGAACCATACCTATGGTCTAAGGGGTGGAGGTGGGGTTAAGGGCGCAGAGGGGAACGGGTGTGAGGCACTTGGAGGGAGGGTGTGGACAAGGACGTTTGGGGGCCCTGGGCGGGAATGACTCTGTGCCCTCACAGGTCGAAGGACATCGAGGCCTCCGGCTTCAACGGCACGGCGGCCTTCATGGAGGTGCGCGTGCAGTCCATCGTGGTGGAGTTCATCCTCACGCATGTGGACCGGCTTTTTGGGGGCGCTGCCCTCTCCGGTGAGTGTCCCCGCTGGCCCGCACAGCGCCACTGCCTGCCTGGGGAGTCACGCCCGGGCCCGGGAGGCCCCCAGTCGCCCGGTTGCAGCTGCCTGTTCTGCGGGAGACGCGGCACAGTCAGACGGGCAGGCCTCTCTGCCCGCAGTGCAGGCCCGGCCTGACCTCTAGTCGCCGTCCTGGCTGTCAGCCCCAGGGACTGCTTGTTGCCGCCCCAGCCCACCAGGTGACAGTCCTGGACCCCCTGGCTCTCTTTGCCCCTGAGGACTCACCCCCTCTTGAGGGCTAGACCAGGGGCCTCGTGGCGTGTCCCCCGCGGGGGAGCGGCGAGGTGCGAGGCAGGGATGGGGCCAGCGCCCACTCTTTTCTCGGTTCTTGGCTGGTGAGTCCTCCTCTTTTCCCAGGCGGTGAGCTGGAGGCTGGCGGATGGAGATCCCTTCCTGGGCTCCGGGAGTCGGGCAGCCCCGAGGACCTCATGCCCAGGTCGCTGCCCTACCACCTGCCCAGTGTCCTGCAGGCTGGCGATGGTCCCCCCCAGATTCGGCCTTATCACACTATCATTGAGATCGCAGAGCACAAGTAAGGCTTCCCTCCTGGGTGCCCCCGCCCCTCCCCGCCCCATCCCTGCACTCTGGCCTCCCGGCCCCAGCCCCAGCCATGTCTCCACGGCCTCCAGGAGGAAAGGGTCCTTGAAGGTCAGGAAGTGGAGATCCATCTTCAACCTGGGTCGCTCCGGCCATGAGACCAAGCGCAAGCTTCCACGGGGGGCTGAGGACAGAGGTGAGCTTGGGGCGACATGGGGGAGAGCTGTGGCAGCCGCACCAGGCCCTGGCCCTACACACCCCCTTGTCTTGCAGAGGACAAATCTGATAAGGGGACCCTGCGCCCAGCCAAGAGCATGGACTCCCTGAGCGCGTCGGCCGGGGTCAGTGACGGTGAGTGCAGGCGTGCACCTGCGTGTGAGCTGTGGTATTCACAACATGGGCCTGTGAGCGTCCGCGCGGACCCACGTCTGTGAGCGTGTCTGTAAGGGAACGGCAGTATTGTGAACAAGACCGCTGGATGTGCCCTTGCGTGTGTGTGTACATGGAGCCAAGTGCACCCACTAATTTAAAAAATATGTGATGTGTGCCTATAATGTACCAGCTGTAGTGCTGGGTGCCAGGCTTACAGAGCTTGTCGTCTACTCTTTCGGTGTGTTCACATGAGCACATGCAGGGACACGGTTGTGTGCGCGCGCGTGTGTGTGTGGGGGGGTGACAGCCAGTGACAGCACCTGCAGGGAGGGCGGCCTGTGACCTGCGGGCTGGGGAGGGTTTGCTGCAGAGGCCAAGGGAAGCGGGGCTGGGCCCCTTCCAGACGGTCCTGACCCTCAGGCTCCAGGGAGCAGGAAGCGTTCGGTCCCGTTGCAGAGCCTTCCTGAACGTCCCGGTCCCTTGCAGCTGATGCTACTGCCTGCCTCTCCCCCCGCACAGAGCCGGAGGCGCTGCTGGCACCCAGCAGCCCCCAGCCCAGCTCACTGATGCCTGAGCAGCTGGAGAACGACTGTGCGGAGGGAGCAGAGGGTGAGGCGGAGCCTGAGGCCGAGACCCCGGGCAGCACGAGCTCCGAGCCAGGAACACCGCGAGCGGGGCGGTCAGCAGTCCGTGCCGGGGGTGGCAGCCGTGCAGAGCGCTGTGCAGGCGTCCACATCTCAGACCCATACAATGTCAACCTCCCCCTACACATCACCTCCATCCTCAGCATGCCCCCAAATATCATCTCGAACGTCTCCTTGGCCAGGCTCACCCGGGGCCTGGAGTGCCCTGCCCTACAGCCCCGGCCAAGCCCTGCCTCTGGCCCCGGCCCCGGCCCCGGCCCCGGCCCCCCAGGTGAGGACCCAGGGATTGCCCAGGGCTGGGAGGAGGGACTGGAAGTCTGGGCTGAGGCTCTGCTGCCGGGGAGGGCGGAGGCCTCCGCCCTTGTCTGTGGGTGCTTCCCTTCAGCTGCCGTCCCTGGTCCAAGGTTGGGGGAATCCAGTAACATTATCAACTTGTATGCAATACATGCAGAGGATCTCACGCACGCCCGAGGATGGGGTCTTGTCAGACGCACGCGGCAGGGATTGCTAAGCACAAGGTGGCAATGCGCCGTCAAGGAGAGCAGCGAAAAGTAACGGTCACACTAGTAGCTGACACTTGTTGAAGGCTTATCATATGCCAAGTGCTGTGCTGAGGATTTTGCAGGCATTAGCTTGTTTTGTTTTCTCATAATCGTGTGACACAGGCATGTTGTCATCCTTGCGTCACAGCAGTGGGACCTGAGCTCTGGTTAAGCCACGAGTCCTTGACGTGGGGAGGAGGGAGCCGAGCACTGCTCTGACACCGGCTCCTGAAGTGACACGCATGAGAAGAGCGGGCAGCACAGCATGGGGCGCGCGTTGAGGGCCTGGCTTGGAGGTGGCACGGGTCGCACTTAGCTGCACCGCTTGTCCTGCGGCCCTGGACAAGCTGTTTACTCTCTCGCAGTCTCTGTGCCCTCACGTGTAAAATGGAGGCAGATGTGGCATAGGGTGCTTTTGTGGGGAAATAAGATGATGCATCATAAAATGTATAGCATGGTGCTCAGCACCTGGCAGGAACTTAGCAAGGGCAACTGTAGGCCAGTAGTTTAGAATATTGGTCTGAAGAGTCAGCCACGTGGGGGTCCAAGCTGGGAGCGCGGGGCCCCTATGGGAGCCATGCTGGGCAGACCACACTGGGGAGGGTCAGGGCTGGCCTGACCTTTGTGTCCCTGGGACCGCCTCTCTCCCAACAGACGAGAAGTCGGAGGCAAGCTCAGCTCTGGGTGCCCTGGCGGACGAGGGCGCGGAGGGCGCGGCCCCGGCCCCAGAGGACTGCCTGTCCCAGGAGGTGCAGGACTCCTTCTCCTTCCTCGAGGACTCGAGTGGCTCGGAGCCCGAGTGGGTGGCGGGGGAGGACGGGGCGGTGGCCGAGGCTGGAGCGTCAGGGGCAGCCTTCTCCCCCGGGGAGGACGACCCAGGGATAGGCTACCTGGAGGAGCTGCTGGGAGCGGGGCCTCAGGTAAGGGAGAGCCGTGCTGGGATGGGGGGTGGGGGGAGGAACCCAGAGGGGACCCGGGGACCCGGGGACCCGGCCCTGAACCCCGTGCCGGCCCGCAGGTGGAGGAGTTCTCCGTGGAGCCGCCCCTGGACGAGCTGTCTCTGGATGACGCCCAGTTCGTCCTGGCTCCCAGCTGCTGCTCCCTGGACTCGGCCGGCGCCGGCTCCGCAGCAGAGGAGAACGGGGAGGAAGTCTTCCTGAGCGCCTACGATGACCTAAGTCCCCTTCTGGTGCCCACAGCCCGGGGCTGGGAGGACCCGGGTGCTCTGGGGGAAGAAGCAGCTGGGCACGGGAGACCGGAGGCTCCGGGACAGGCCGAGGGGGGGCAGCCAGCCTGGGAAGCAGGGGAGGACATGGGGGCTGAGGCTGGCAGCAGCTGGGACGGCAGCGAGGAGGCTCAGGGGAGTTCGGAGAGCAAGGTGGAGGCCGCAGAGGCAGGTGAGGCGGACGGGGACGCTGGGGGAAGCCAAGAGATGGCGGTCAGTCAGAAGGAAGGGAGTGGGGGAGAGACAGAGACCGAGGAAGAGGAGGCTGAACCCAAAGGTCCGCAGGAGGATGCGTGTGCGGAGGAGGCTGCCGGTGCGGAGGAGACAGGAGGAGGGCAGAGTAACGACCAGAGGGAAAGAAAGCCTGAGGGACAGGAGGAGGCCGAGGCCGGAGGGGAAGCCTGGGCGGGAGCTGGAAGGGACCCGCAGCAGAGGGTCCGCGAAGGGCACGCTGCCGAGGGCAGCCGGGAGGCGGCCCACGCCCCAGAGGCTGTGGGGGGCAGCGGGGATGAGGGTGAAGTCAGAGGGGGGCGGCAGGACAGAGACCAAGAGGCACAAGGAGGCGGTGGAGACGGGGGCGCAGCCGCCGCCGCGGAAGGAGGGGCCGGGGAGGTCAGCAACGGCCGGGAGAGCGGGGACGGCGAGGCGGAGGGGGAGCAGGGGCCGGGAGGGGCCCGTGCGGGAGGGGGCTTCCTCCCAGAAGAGTCACTTGTGCTGTGCCTGGAGGTGGACAGCGCCAAAGAGGGCGAGGACCCGGCCCCTGGGACAGAACAGGCGGCCCCGCAGCCGCCTCGGCCAGAGGAAACGGGGCCCGAGGGCTGCGACCCAGGCCCCGGCCCCGCGAGCGCCGCGGGCAGTGTGGGCATGCGCCTGGCTTCCACGCTGGTTCAGGTGCAGCAGGTCCGCTCCGTGCCGGTGGTGCCCCCCAAGCCGCAGTTTGCCAAGATGCCCAGCACCATGTGTAGCAAGATCCACGTGGCACCTGCAAACCCGTGCCTGAGGCCGGGCCGCCTGGATGGGACTCCTGGGGAAAGGGTTTGGGGGTCCCGAGCCTCCCGCTCCTCCTGGCGCAACGGGGGCAGCCTTTCCTTCGACGCTGCCGTGGCCCGGGCCCGGGACCGCCAGAGAACTGAGGCTCACGGAGTCCGGAGGACACAGACCTGCACCGGGGGCGAGGACTGCAGCCTCGCCCCCAGAGCCTGTCCCTCCAGCCTGGGCCCCGCGCACGGCGCCCGGCCCCTCAGCTTCCTGGAGCTCCCCGCTGAAGGCACGGAAAGGTCTGAACCCCGGAGCCGGTTTAGTCTGCCCGCCAGGGAAGCCCAGGCCCCCCCCACCCTTGTGCCCCCTCAGCGCCGAACATACGCATTTGAGACGCAGGCTAACCCCGCGACGGGCGAGGGGCTATGATCGGGCCGAGCCCTGGGCCGAAGGGGCCGGGCGTCGTCTCCCGCCTGCGGAGGCCCCGACACCTGTGTCATCGGCAGCCCCGGCGGCCGCGGCGCCCAGCTCTGCGGGCTCGGGCCCTCCAGCTTCTCTGACTGACTGCGGGAGGCACTGTCTCGGCCGGTTTACCGAACTTGGGTCAGACACAGAGCACTTGTCCCTCAGGAGATTCCCAAGAAAGTCACCGAGAGCCTGTTCCTAGGGAGTGAGGTCACTGGCCAAAGGGCACAAAGAGGAGGCAGCAAACCGCGAGGTTTCTCCGAGTGAAGAATGAAGGGGAACTCCAGTCGAGGGTCTGCCCTCCCGAGGCTGCGCACTCCTCCGCGGGAAGCCCCGGGGCGGAGGCGGGGGCGACAGGCCCGGGTCACAGCTTCGGAGGAGCGACGACGACAGCAGCGGGTCCGCGCAGCGCCGCGGAGGCCTCAGGGCCCGCGGGGGGCACTGGCGCCCTGCCCAGCTCCTCCGCCCCCGCCTCCCGTCGCCTTCAGGGAGGGAGGTCTCCCACAGGTCTCCTCGGCTTCTTTCTCCCTCGGAGCAACTCCCTCCTGTTTCAGGGAAGGGGAATGGCGCCGCTCAGGGCCCGGGACGGCTCCTCCACACGGGCTGGGGCCACAAGTCCCACTCCAGGAAGGGCCCGAGTCTCAGAATAAAAGTGGTATTTTTACATGGAAACAGCATCGAGTTTCATTATCCGAGTCAAGTCTTGGGTGACAGGCGTCGCCGTTGCATGGGTGGCCCATCCTCGTCCTTTCCCTTTGCGCCCCGGCTCCTGCTCCGCGGTTGTCATGGAGACCTGCGGCTAGAAACTAGACCTGGGTTCACGGTCGTCAGGAAATGGGGAAGAGAAACCTGCATTTACGTAACGTTCCTTGTGCCCCAGCAGAGGCTACGTCCGCCCTGTGCCCTTTCGTCCCCTAACCATTCTGGGCGTCAGGTTGGTCCTGGCCTCTGCGTTCCTCAGTTGACAAAACCAAGGCTCGTTATGTCACGAGCCTCGCGAGATCTCCGACGTCAGCAGTGGAGCTCAGAGGCGGCTCTGAGACCCGTGACATCCTACGCCCGGGATCCACGCGGGAGGTGCGACTGTGAAGAGCGGGCGTCGGGGCCCCGCTGCAGAAACTGCCTCACAGGCTGGAAGCCTGGGGGGTCTTCGGGCGAGTGACTGCGGACGCTAATACAAAGCCGTGTACGCAGACCCAGGCCTGCCAAGGCGTCCTCACCTCCCACCGGAAACACTCCAAATAGGGGCCCCCGATTCCCAAAGGCCTCCCGCCAGCCCTTGTCAAAGATGGCGCCGCCGACCGACGGGCCTCCCTTTCCAGGAACTAAATAAAAAAGCCCTGTTAGCAGGAAGATGGAAGCACAAGTTAGTCGTATTTTCCCCGTTCTCGCCGAAAGCGCCTCGGCCTTCAGCGTCATTCTTCTGGGTTCCCAGGAAGTCGTACCCTCCCGCCCGCATCAAGATGGAGCCGACGGAAGTGGGGCGGATCAGGGGCTGGGCGAGCGGAGGGTCTGGAGGGCCACTTCCGCCCCTCACCAGCATGGCCGCGGGCCGGGAGCGCGCATGCGCAGCTGTCCATGGAGCGGCCCGAATTCCGAGAGGAGCGCTGTCCCGGAGAGTCGGCGGCTGAGGCGGCGGAGGCTGGTGAGTGCAGGACAGGGCGGGAGCTGGAGACGGACTGGGCCGGCAAGGAGGGGCAGGCTCGATTGTGTGCCCGTCCCTCAGGCCAGGGAAGTCGCGAGGGGAGGCCTTTGTTTTGAGGGAGGGGCCGCGCCTTCCTCTTTATGTCCGGCCCGCGCGTTCCGCCTCCTGCGCCCGGCCGAGTGCGGCCCCGTGGGTCCGCCGGGTCCGCGGGCCGGGCCGGGCGCCTTCGCGGGGCTGCGGGTGGCGCGGTCCCCGCGAGGCTGGCGCCGAGCGCCTCCGCGCTGCGTCGTTTTCCCTTTGTGTCCGCGGCGGGCACGGCCCTGCTGGGCCCTCCGTGGGGAGCGTGCGCGCCGCCGCGTCCGGCCCGGTCCCCGCGTCGCGCACCCCGCGCGCACGGGAAATGCTTCCGGACGCGCAGCGGAGACCGGGGCGACCCGCCACTGGCGCCTCGGAGGCCGTCCCCGGCTGACAGCTGTGGGCGGCAGAGTCGCCCGCTGCCCTGCCCACCCCGCCCCGCCGCGCCCTCCAGGCACCTGGGGCGCTGCCCGCGCAGGCTCGGGGACGGACAGGTGGGTGGTCCCGGCCAGCGGCGCCGCTTCCTCTTAGGGGCCGCGCGCTGCTTCCTCCCGAAGGTTTCGCTTTCAGTTCCCTTTCTTTTCTGGCGAAGGCTTTCCTTGGACCCGGACTTTCCAAGGCGCATCCACCGAAGATTTTCCTCGGATAGGAAAGGTTTGGGGACCTTCTGGATAGAGAGTGTATCGGAAAGTTCCCCTCTCGCGCCGGGAGCACTTTGTTGCCTCGCTCTGTGCAGCTGTGTCCCTGGTGGCGCCTGTCCGCTCGGCGCCCCGCTGTTCCTGCGCGCGGCCGGGTGTCCGCGTCCTCCGGCGGCACCTTGCGGGCGGGCGCCCCCGCTTTGTCTCTGCTCCGGCGGAGCTCGGGCCTGGAGTTTTCCCCCTTCTCGCTGCGGCTCCGTCAGTTTGGAGTTGTCATGGCAACACCTGAGCAGCCGTGTCGTTCTGGGCTTGGTGAATACGATACGCGGGGTCGAAGACGGTACACTTGGGCTTTTGGGTGTTTCGCATTTGACATAAGTCTGGACACCGCAGAACAAAAGCCCTGTCATTACAATGGGGCCCAAAGGCCAAGTCCGCTGTTTGGGTCCAGGGGCCTTCCCAGGGCCGCGGCTTCAGGCCCCTCCCTTGACTGGAGAGCAGGGATTGGTCGGTGTTCGGTGCGGGGCCGAGAAGCTGCGAGAGCCACCGCGGCCGCGGTTCCGAAGGCGGTGTCCCGGGCCTCCCCTTGCCGTGGCCGGTCGTCACCATCCACCAGCGCCAGCGTGCCTGTCTCTTCCCCGCCGGGAGCCGAGTGGTCCTGCTGACGGGGGGCGCTGTCCTCCGGGGAGTCCCTGGTTTCCTGGCCGCTGCCGCCTGTCCTCGGCGTCGCCCCCGCAGACGACAGGCTCTGCCCGGCCGCGTCTCACGGGGCCTGCGTTCTCCTGCAGGGGGGCTGCCCCATTTCCTGGAGCCACTGCGGACGCCCTGATTTTCGCCGGGACGCAGCCCTTGGGCCCGCGAGGCAGGAGACCCGAGGACCCCGCAGCAGGACCCGCCCCTCGGATGCGCCCCCTCACGGAGAGATGAAGGGGTGAGTGCGGGGAGGCGGCGTCCCGGGGTCAGGGCGCCCTCGGTGGGGCCGCCCGAGCCCCGCACGGGCCTGTGATGCGGCTTCCTGCCTGTGAAGTGCACGCGGCCCCAGCCGGGCAGCCGGTGGGTTGAAGCGTCGCGGCTTCGCCGAAGCTCTGGGTTCGAGCCCAGTCACGGCACCTGTGGGAGACAAGCAGTGATGCATCGGTCAGTGGAGGAACAAAGCGAGGTCTCTCCCCACCACTTTGTCTCTCTTTCTGAAATCGACAAATAAAAAACTAATTAAAAAAAGATTTTATTAATTCACTTTTAGAGAAGAGGGGGGAGAGGGAAACATTCCTGTGTGGTTGCCCCTCGAACGTCCCCTGCTGAGGACCTGGCGTGCAGCCCAGGCCTGTGCCCTGACGGGGAATTGGACCTGCGACCCTTTGGTTTGCAGGCCGACACTCAACCCACTGAGCCACATGAGCGAGAGCAAAAAAGAAGTAAACAGACAAACCTAAAATATTTTTAAAGGACATTCAAAAAAGTATTTGAGGTGCAAGCAGTGCCCCCGGCCTCGTCGTGCTGTTCTTAGCAGTGAGGGCGGCCGTGCCTGCTTGGTGCCCGCTCCGCGTCTGTGTGGCCCGGGGCCACTCGGTGGATTCCGGCGCCTGCGGGCGACGCCAGGGAGTCCGGGCCCGGGTGCCGTGGGGCCGGGGAGCTTCCCATGCAGCTCTTCCCTCACCCTCCCCTTCGTCCCTTCACAAACAGGCAGCAGAAAACAGCTGAAGCCGAAGAGGGGACAGTGCAGATCCAGGAAGGTGAGTGGTAGAGACAGAAGTGAGCTGGGACCCAGAGCCCGTCACGGCCCCTCCCCGCGCCGTGGGCCACCTGTGCACCTCCTTCTCCGAGTGACAGGCAAGTGACACGGGGCCGGGGGAGGCAGCGACACAGACTCCTCCTTGCTCCTTGAACTTAGGTGCAGTAGCAACTGGGGAGGACCCGACCAGCGTGGCTATCGCCAGCATCCAGTCAGCTGCCACCTTCCCTGACCCCAACGTCAAGTACGTCTTCCGAACTGAGAATGGGGGCCAGGTAAGGGAGGGGGCCAGGCGGCTGCAGGTGTTACCCGGGCTTGGGTTGGAGGGAGGTAACGGAGGCCTGGAGGATGCGGTGAGGATGTGGACGGTTCGGGGGCTGGGGGTTGGAGCGTGAGGTTCGGAGTAGAGGAGGGGGTGGCGTGGGGCTTTGCTGAAACCGTAGGGAGACAGGCGGGGGAGTGGCTGGGTCTGCGTCCCTGGAGGACTCTTGTTTGGGGCCCTGGCTAGGAGGAGCTTTGTCAGGTGCCCTGAAACCCTGGCATTTACTCTCTCGTCCTCTCTTCCCCTCCTGCCCCGCTCCTCCCTGCTTCCAGGTGATGTACAGGGTGATCCAGGTGTCTGAGGGGCAGCTGGATGGCCAGACTGAGGGGACTGGCGCCATCAGTGGCTACCCTGCCACTCAGTCCATGACCCAGGTGCAGGCGCGTGGCTGGGGGAGGGGACCAGAGCTCTGAAGAGTGAGAGGAGGCAGGGAACCCGTGGGCTGGGGATGGGGAGGCCCCTGCTGCCCTGTCCCCCGCACTAGGCTCTCCCTTTCCGGATGCCCCTCCCTCCCCGCCCCTGGGGTGGGAGCGGCAGAGTGGTTCACTGGGGAGTATCTGACGGTCACCGGACCCTGCCCTCTCGGTTCCCTTCCAGGCGGTGATCCAAGGCGCGTTCACCAGCGACGATGCAGTTGACGCGGAGGGGACAGCGGGCGAGACGCACTACACTTACTTCCCCAGCACGGCCGTGGGCGACGGGGCGGCGGGGGCCACGTCTGGGAGCGCGGCAGCTGTTGTCACCACCCAGGGCTCGGAGGCCCTGCTGGGACAGGCCACGCCGCCCAGCACTGGTGAGATGCCCGTGGGGATGCGGCTGCAGCGCGGGGCAGGCGGCGGGGCGACCGGGGGGCGGCGGGCCTTTGCTCTGGCCTGCGCTGGTCACTAAGCCCTGGACAAGCGGGGAGCATGGCACTGCCCCTCCGGCAGGAGGAGGCTTGCCCTGGTGAGGGGGGTCCCACGGCCTTGGCCTCAGCACCCGGTGAGGCTCCTAGTCCCATGTCCTGACGGAAGCCACGCTGCCCCTCACAGGCCAGTTCTTTGTGATGATGTCACCGCAGGAAGTGCTGCAGGGGGGGAGCCAACGCTCCATCGCCCCCAGGACCCACCCTTACTCCCCGTGAGTAGCCCTGTTTCTTCTCAGTTACCATGAGGCCTGGCTCTGGTGTGGTCTGCACCCCGATGCTGATCTTATTTTTTGATCTTTGTTCCTCGCCTGCCGTGGGCTCTGTTGCCAGGAAGTCAGAAGCCCCCCGGACGACTCGGGATGAGAAGCGCCGGGCTCAGCACAATGAAGGTGGGCGTCTGGGGGGCCGGGGGGCAGCCGTGGTGTTTGAGGGGGAGGGCAGGCCACTTGCCCTGGGCCTGGGGCGTGCTCTTGCTGAGTCACCCTGTCCCCACTGTCCCCACAGTGGAGCGGCGCCGCCGAGACAAGATCAACAACTGGATTGTGCAGCTGTCCAAGATCATCCCAGACTGCTCCATGGAGAGCACCAAGTCGGGCCAGGTCGGGGGCCCGGGGGGCGGCGCCGAGCCCTGTGTCCTGTGGGTGCTCGCGGCAGCCGTTGCGGCTGCTCTCTGGGGCTCCTTAGGGGAATGAGGCCCGTGTGTGAACTGCTTTTGGAAAGCAAGCCAGGTCCCTCCGTCCCGGTCCTCACATCCTGTCGGCCTTTGCCGCAGAGTAAAGGCGGGATCCTGTCCAAAGCGTGCGACTACATCCAGGAGCTTCGGCAGAGCAACCACCGGCTGTCCGAAGAGCTGCAGGGGCTCGACCAGCTGCAGCTGGACAACGACGTGCTTCGCCAGCAGGTCAGCCTCCTGTCCCCGGGAGCCCTCTTCCAGTGCCGTGGCCACTGAGCCCCTGGGGACTCTGTGTTTTGTTTTCTGTAGACAGGCTTTGGTGTTTGCCCTTCAGTAGTTGGGACAAGTTCAGGGGGTTCCCACCCGCCTTACTGCTGCCTTCCCCGTCAGGTGGAAGACCTCAAAAACAAGAACCTGCTGCTGCGGGCCCAGCTGCGGCACCACGGTGTGGAGGTGGTCATCAAGAACGACAGCAACTGACCGGCTCTCCCTGTCCCAGAACGGCAGAAAGCCCTGGAGCCGCAGGCCACCCTGTGCCCCCTTCCTTCACTGCCCATTCCTGGCAAGAGACTGGGAGGAGTTCAGGACAGCAGCCAGCGTGCAGCGGCGACACATGGGACGTGTCCTGGCAGCCTGGCCCAGCCCGCGGCGCAGCCCCGGCCCCTCTCGCGGAGCCTGCGCTTGTCCGTGGTGGATACTGGACCCACGAAGTGGGGCTTGCCTGGTGGCGGTGACAGGACCGGCAGAGGACCTGCTGGCGGTGCCGCCCCGGCGGCCGGGACTCGGCGCTTCCGCCGGCCCCTCTCCCTGGAGCCCGGGGGCTGTGCTGCCGAGTGCGCAGGGCACAGGCTTCCGCCAGAAGTGGGGGGACGCAGCAGTGGCCGCTGCCCGGGAAGAGAGGGTTGGGCGGCCGCTGGGAGCTGCGCGGACGTCCGGGGAGAACCACCGACGGGGCCCACGTGCGGCTTCCCTCCTTGGGGGACGGTTTCCCCCCCCCCCCCTTTCTCTTTTCCTTTTTTTTAAAGATTAAATGTGCAGAGCCACCGCCGCCGCCTCCTCCTGTGTGTCCTTTTCTGGGTCTCCGGGCGGAGGGGGGGCACTTTGACCCGTGGGACGGGGCGGGAGCTGCGCGCCCCCGGGACTCCCGGGTGGGTGCCCGGTCGGTGCCGGGTCTGACAAGCCAGGGCGTTACCAGCCTCACCCGAGTCTCACCACGAACAGGTGCGCGGGGGCGGGGCGGGGCGGGGCTTCGCTTCCGGTTCCGGCCTCAGCCCCAAGAGGTGCTGCTCCTTGCGGGGTCCGGCTGGGCCGGCTGAACACTTTCTTGCAGTTTCGTGGTGGCGTGCGCTCGCGCCATGGCTGCAGGTACGTGCGCTGGCCGCCGAGTTGACAGTCCTCGGGGCCCCGGGAGCTCGCAGGGAGCCGGCGGGACTCCAGCGCGGGCGGGCGCGGGGCAGGGGACGGGGGTGTGGCCGCGGGCCAAGGGCCGCCTCCCAGGTGGGGGGCAGGTGAGGACCGACGGGGGCTCTGCGCCGGGCCGGCCCCCCAGGCTCTCGTGTCTCCTCCGCAGTGCCCACCGTGTCATTCCCCGAGCTCCGCTCGCTCCTGGCCGCGGGCCGCGCCCGGCTCTTCGACGTGAAGACTCGGGAGGAGGTGGCCGCGGGGACCATCCCCGGGGCGCTCAATATCCCGGGTACGGGGCTGTGGGAGTGCGCGCCAGTGGGGGCCGCGGGGCGCTCAGCCCAGGGTCCTCACGCTGGGGGTGCAGGGTGGCCTTGGCGCAGGGACCGATTCCCTGGCCTCCCAGGCTTCCTCCGAGGAGGGACCCGTGGAGATGCGTTCCGGCGGCGGAGCCTGCCCTTCCTTGTGTGGGTGACACGGTGGGAAGGGGCTGCCACCCCGCCGCCCAGGCGCGACACCGAGAGCCTGTGTCCCTGCGACCTGCTTGTTCTCGGTCCCCCACGGGAAGCAGTGCCTGACGCTCCACGTTTCTGGGCTGTATCTTGTCCTTGATGTTGGGTGTGGTGGCGATCTGGCTTTTCGGGGCCCCCGAAGGTTCGTGGGACCACGGGCACCCAGTCCTTCGAGGCCCAGCCTCTGAACCTCCTGGGCTGAAGTGACTCCTCCTCCCAGTGTCTGAGCTGGAAGGTGCCCTGCAGATGGACCCAGCTGCCTTCCAGGCTCTGTACTCGGCGGAGAAGCCAAAGCTGGAAGATGAGAACCTCATTTTCTTCTGTCAGATGGGCAAGCGGGGCCTGCAGGCCACGCAGCTGGCGCAGAGCCTTGGATACAGAGGGTATGGGGCAGGCGGGTGCTGGCCGGGCATCTCTGGGGGCTGCTTCCCAGCCTGTGCCGCTGTGTTAACCCCTCTTTGTCCCCGCAGGGCTCGCAACTACGCAGGGGGTTACAGAGAATGGGTCCAGAAAGGAGGTGAGGTTGAAGGCGGCAGAGCGCAGGAGGGGCGCGGCAGGCCCTGACTTGTTGGTTTGCGCCAGGCCTTATCCTGCTGCACACACAGAAGCATGCGATAAAGAGCATTTGATCGCCCCTGGCTGGTGTGGCTCAGTGGGGTGGGTGCCCGTCTGCAGACTGAAGGGTCGCGGGTTCAGTATCCAGGGAGGGCATGTGCCAGGGTAGCGGACTGGGTCCAGCTGGGGGGCATCTGAAGGGCAACCACACACTGATGTTTCTCTTACTCTCTCCCTCCCTTCCCCTCTCTCTAAAAATAAATAAGTAAAACGTTTTTTTAAAAGCATTTAATCCAAGCATTGGTTGCCTTTAATGTGTCAGTTGGATTGAAAACAGTTCTAATCTTAATACCCTTTTCCTTCCTGCGTTCATCCATCCCCCATCACCCCAACACAAAACTCCGGCAATTTCCTAAGGCTGCAGTTCTCTGTCTTGGACGACAATTGTTTTCAGCCCCGGGGTGACATCAGAATCGCCTGGCAGCGGGCAGGGGGTAGGGGGGGAGAAAAGCTTGCATCCCAATCCCAGATTTGGAGTCGGGGGTGTGCCAGGGACCCCCAAGTGAGCCAGCCCCTCCGGGGGTTCTAATATGCAGTAAGGGGGCCGGAGCTGGACCAGAGGCCAGCAGACTGGCCCCACGGGGCCTCGCGACCGTCTGCACGTTGTCTCTGGCGGCTTCCGTGGAGAAACGGCAGAACAGTTGTGGGAAACGGGTGTGCCGTTCCGAATGTAAGCTTTTGACGATCCTTTTCTGGAAAGTTTGCCTACCCCCGACCCGTGCTCCAGACCAGCTGTTTTCATCCCACGTGCCACCAGAACTTTTAAAACATGCAACACCTGACTATTCAGGCAGGGCCTCTGACCTCCTTCCCCTGGACTCGAAAAATGACAACAGCCAACACAGCAATAGTCATCTGGTGTTGAATGAATCACAACTCTACCTATTTTTTTGGTTGTTGTTCAGATGGGCAGAAACTATATATTTTTTGGTGTGCCGCAGAATTTTGGAAGTTAGTTTATATGTGCCACGAAACAAGAGGTTGGAAATCGCTGGTCCACCCCAGGGCCGCTGCCGGGGAAGGGAGGGAGGCGGCCAGAGGCAGGCTCCGGTTCTTATCAACACTGATCCCACACTGGATTTAACAAATTTATTTTTTTAAAAAACACATGTTTACTGAGGCAGAATTCAACACCATACAGAAGGCATATAACTTCCAGCACGGGGATAGGTTGATGCGTGTCCTTTGAAATATTTTAATGGCAGATTTTTTTATTTCTTAAGTTTGGTTTTTTTTAAAAGGTTATTCCTTTATTTGTGGAATGAGATGGACCCAAGTTTCTGATTTTTCAAGCCTTTGAAGAAAGTACGTCAGACGTTTTCTGCATTCCTTGCCTTTCCTTCCTGGCTCCCCGCCCTTGGGCTTCCTGGCCCGGAGCCAACCCTCCCACCCCGTGGATCTCGCGGCCGGCGCCGCCCACGCACCGCCCACGCTGCAGAACCTCCCCTCCCCGGAGCTGGCCTTCTGCCCTGCATGGGCAGGCCCACTGGGGGCGCCACAGCGCGGCACTGCCCGAGCTCAGCTCGGCCTTGCCGGGTCCGGCGATGAAGCAGAAATGGGTCCAGAGCCGAGCCCAGGGCGGGCGCACGCAGGCGGCCTTGGCTCCTTCCCCGAACGCCCAGGTGCCTTCGGGTCTCAGACCGGTCGGGACGTTTTTCCTGTGTCTAATTATCCTCTTTGTTTGAGTCTTAGCTGTTCTAGTTTTCCTTTTTCCTCCTCCTCAAATATCATAATTCGATGATAGCTTTTCTTTTTTTTAATCGAGGCGTGATTCACCTCTAATAAAGGCGCAGTTCTGAACCGGGCCCCTGGGCTTTGACAACTGTGTGCGCCCTTGTTAACAACCCTCCTGAACGAGACCCGGAACGCAGAGGTCCCCGCAGGGCGACCGCCTTCCAGCCGATGACACCCCGACCCCTTCCCAGGCGTCTCTTCCACCTGCCAACAGCGCCAGCCACGGTTTCCAGCTTCCTGCGGCGCAGCTGCCCGGCGGGGACCAGGCAGCGCGGGGCGTGCTGGCGGCTCCAGCGTCGCTAAGGCGCGGACACTCCTCTTTCCTGCTCGTGGGTGCTCGGTTCCTAATCTCGACAGGCGGTTCCCACCTTCACCTCGCCCTTCAAGCTCCTCGCAGCCATTTCGTCGGGTGAGGCTGCGGAGCCCGGCGGAGCAGCTCCGCGTGGGCCCCGACCTCAGCCCCGCGGCCCAGACGGCTTCGCGTCAGGCGCCTCCCCTGCGCGGCCCTGTCGCCCGGGGGCCGTGTCGGCGCCGTCCCCGCGTGGTCCCAGCCGACCTCACGTTTCTCTTTCCCTCCTGCGCTCGGTCTGAGCTCCTCCACCACCTGCGGAGCCTCGGGCCTTCGTTTCCAGTCTCCTCCCGACTTTCCAAATCCTCTGATTTCAGTCTCTGGAAAGGTCACAGCCGGAGCAATCTCAAAGCAACATTTTTATCTTATCAGAGCCCGATAATTCTCAACAGCCCCTTGTTGCCTAGTGACTCACGCGCAGACCGCGGCCTGGCCGCTCGCAACCTGTGGCTCGGCTGGCGCGCCCCGCCTTTCCAAGCTTGACCTTGGGGCCTGCTCCCAGCCGGCCGCTCCCAGCGGCCCAGCGGGCCCCACACTCCCTGACCTCTACTCGGCGCTGTGGGTGGTTTCAGTGTCTTAGGAGCTGAATTTCACAAGAATGGGAAGAATGTGTGTGCTGCTCTCCTCCAGGGGCTTTTAAGCTGAAGGAGAAGGGAGAGAAACAACCAGATGAAATGTCACAACCGCATTCCATGGACGGTCAGGAAACCGGAGACCGGAGCGGCGCCTGGGCTGCGTCCTGCGCTGCGGGCTCTCCCGCTTCAGGCCCCGCTTCGCTGCATTTCTGTCTGACCAGCAGGGCGGAGGGACGCCATCACCGTGGAATTTGTACTGAGCTGTCGGGACTTCCCGGGGAGAGAATGGGACGAGGACAGCGGGTGACGCTCCCGAAGGGCGGCCTGTCCGTGTGTAAACAGGCTCCGAGTCAGAGGTCAGACTCCGCTCTGATGCACGGTCACTGCACGTGACTTTAGCTCTGCCAACTCCCACTTTTCTTTTTGTAAAATGGGAGTTAAAAACTCACGTCTCTGGAGGGGTGTGGAAGTGTACGAGGATAATGCGGGTACAGCACCTGCCATGTAAAACGTGGATTTAGAGAGATGTACACACAACGATAAATAACACACAAGGTGATAACTAAAATAGCAGAGCTATGAACACAGGAGCTGGACGGAAGTGCAGCTTGAAGGCTTTTTACAAAGTGAACAGATGCATTTAACCACCACTGGGGTCAGAAAATGTACACTATATGATTTGAAAAATTTAAACTATGTTGAGAATTGCTTTGTGGCCAAGTGAGGGGCCAGTGTTTGTAAATGTTCTATGATCGCTGGAAAAGAAAGTTTGTTCTGCAGTTTTGGGGTGCAGTGTTGTATTATGTCAATTAGGTTGTTTATTTTGTTCAAATTCATATCTCTGTACTTTTTTTTTTAATCTGCTGGTTCTATCAGCTGCTCCCAGAGGTAGCCTGAAAGCTGTCATTGCAATTTGGATTTGTCTCTTTCTCCTTATAGTCCTGCCATTTTTATTTTACATAATCGGACACTGTGGTATCCGACTGTGCAAATTCAGAACTGTCGTGCTTCCTCCTGAATGGGTCGTATTCTCAGTTCGTCCCTCTCTGGCCTGATGCGTGAACACACAGTTAGGAGACCCTGGGTGGGGGGGGGCAGGGCCTGGCGCCTCTCTTCAGTGGAGGTGACTCCCCGAGGGCCAACCCCCGGGGACAAATGGGACAGGTCTTCCCGTCCTGAAGGGGAGTCTGGGTAGCACAGCGCGGCATCCGCCGCGGTATGCTTGTCCATGCATGACCCCCGCCTTCCAGAAGGGAAAACACACGTCAGGGCCAAGGGGAAATTGAAAAGCATAGGCAGATGAAGTCAGGAATGAATGTCAATGTTTGCACTCAGATTGCAAATGTGGATTTGGCCTTCCTTGCGCCCCAAGCAAAAGGACTAACAGCATCAGTTAGAAAACCGAAGGCATCCGTCAGGCGCACACGGGGCTCCTGCCCACCCCCATCTCAGTTTTCTCCAACAGTCACAGTGCACAGCGGTGGCCCTTCTCCCCGCTCTCCCCTGCACCCCTCCACTCGCATCCTTAACTTTGTGCATATATGTCTCTCTCCAAGACTCTCAATTCCTCTGCGGGTAAAGAACAGAGGTTTGTGCTTGGGAGGCACCTGCCTATTCGTTTCAACGTAGTGATATGCAGTTTCTCCTTTGGTTACTGGTTGTCATTTCCTGTATTTGTCTCAGAAGCAGATTGGAAGCCATTTGAAGTCGGGGACCGTGGTTTATAGTTATGTGCATTAAGTTCCCTATGGCACCCACAGGTGCTTGAGAACCACTGCTTTAGGTTGGGTGGAACCAGAAGTGGACCTTTGGCCCGGAGGATGGACCAAAGGAATGTGAGCAGAGACGAAACGAGCAAAAGGTCAAGGAATACTACTGCTTTGTATAAAAGTGTAAACTTCTTTACCTGCAGTGAGCTAACGTTCAGGAAGTTTTCCCAAAGGCAGCCTGGATGTACCACAACCAGCTAAAATTAAGTCACTGCAGAAACTAGAAAGAGCAAAGCTGTTGAGCATGAGTTTCACTTAAAAATGATGTAACTCTGTATTTACAGAATGCTTTAGTAGAAACAGAGTCTATAGAAAGAGGAGCTTGGTTAGCACCCAACTACCAGTCGCAGTGAGAAAGTAACTCTGAAATGTAGGGTTGTTCTGACAGGTCAGACACGCTCGGGGACACGTCCAGTCACTCGGTGATATTTTTGGAGCCCATGTAGGTCAGTTTGCATCATTTGCACTATTCGGTCTCCGTGCGCCTAAGGTTCTCCTTGAGAAAAACGTAACTCTTCTTCTCCACTTCCACCTCCCTTTTCCTTGTCCACGGCCTGCGGGTCCATTCCAGGGCTGCTGCCAGCGCGGCCCACAGGGGAACAGGGTTTGCGGTGGTTTCAGGGGTCCCTCACCGCTCCCCGGTCCTCTCCTCCTACCCCCCGGCACGTCATTGTGAGGCTTCCCGTTGCCAAAGGGCGTGACCACGGTTTCCACAGCAGCCGGCACGTCCGTGCAAATCCGCTCCGCGGGGCCGCGGCACCACTCGCAGCCCCTCCTGCCCCCGCCAGGGGTTCCCCTGCTCCTCCTGCTCCCACGGGGCAGCCAGTCAGAGACCCCGCTTCGGGAGCGCTGCCCAATCAGGGTGCGCTCACCTGCGCAAGGTGAGGGATCCGTCTCCTTTCGCGACCGTCTCCCCGCCAATCAGAGGCGCCACGGGCTTGGCCTTGCGCCCCGCCCCTGAGGAGCGGCGGCGGCCGGCGGAGCGGCACCTGGCGGCCGTGAGTCACGCAGCGGAGCGACGGCTGCCTCCTCCAACCGGAACGCGCAGGGGCGGGCGCCGGCCAATCGGGCGCGGAGGGCGGGCCGGCGGGCTCAACCTGCGGCCGGAGCTCGAGCCGCGAGGCTGTGCCCGAAGTTGGGTCTGTCCCCGGGCTCGGCTCCCGCCGGCGCTTCGGGGTCCCGGTCGCCATGGGGACAAAAGGGAAGTTCGGGAGGAGACAGTTGCTTCTCTTCGCGTCGGTGATCCTGTGTAAGTTCCCGGAGTTTCGGGAGGGATCGGTGGGTCGGGTCGGAGGTTGGAGTCGGGCGCGCCCACGGTCCTACCCGCGGGCGGGGACGGGTCAGAGCGGCCGACCGCGCCCTCCGCGTCCCTCCGCGCGCCCGGTGCCGGACCCCTCCTCCACTGCCCCCCTTGGTGCGCGGCTGGACCCCGGCCCCCACGCCGGGGAGTCGCGCCCCCTCCGCTGACACCCGCTCGGGGGGCGCTGGCCGCGCTGCGCACCCGCCGAGAGGCCCGGCAGGGGTCGAGCCCGCTCTCTCCGGGCCGCGGGGACAGGTGAGGGCCCGGCCCACCACCCTGCCCCGCCCCGCGTCGCCTCCGCGCGCCTCTGGGGAGGGCGCAGGCCCCCGCCGCGCGCAGCCGCGAGCCGCCCGACTCCCTCGGCCCCGGGTGTCCCGCTCCCGAAGCGACCCCGCAGCCCGACGGGGAGGCGGGGCGGGCGGCGGTCCCCTGGACGGCAGGCGAAGGGGTCTCTGTGTCCCCCGGCTCCGCGAATGCTTCTGGGCGCAAAGTCGGAAGAGAAGATAGAATTGGAATCTGAGTTTTCTCAGAAAACAGCATTCAAAGTCCCTTTGTCGAATCATGGCCTTAAGAAACGAGGTTGGCCCAGTGGATGCTCGGGGCGGGGGAGCCGGGACCCCGCGGGGACAGGAGGCCGCTGCCCCATGGCCCGCGCGGGCCGCCCCTGCCTGGGCACCGGTGCTTCTGTGCGCGGCTGTGTGAGCCTGTGGTCGGGGGAACAAACTCCCCTCAAGGCCTGAGTTTTAGGAAGTGTCCAAGGAAAGGAATGCATAGACTATATCGCGGTGGTTCTAGGTCGCTTCGTTTGGCCACGTTCATTTCGAAGAGGGCGGTCGGTGCCCTGCCCGCGGTCCGAGCCAGCGACTGCGTGTGCCAGGCCGCTGAACTCCTGCTCCCCTTCTGCTTCCTCGCTTCCTGTGCCACAGCCCGGCCGTCCGGCTCCGGACGGGGCGGGAGCGCCCTTCCCAGCGGGGCGAGCCCTCTGGTCTGGGCGGGGAATCGGGAGACAGTGCCTCAGCGGCAGCCCCAGCAGATGGGCCTGGGCTGGACCGTGCTTCCGGGGGGTCACATCTCCAGGGGGTGGAGGGACGGACCGGGGGCCACATCAGGCTGCTTCAGGGAGCGCCATCCGATTCGTGCGGAGGCTGCCGATTCGTGCGGAGGCTGCCGTCGCAGCCAGGCCGCTGCCTGGGGCCCAGCTCCGCGTGGCTCGGTGCTCTTGGCGATCTTAGGGCTAGAAGCTCAGTCTTTTCACCTGTAAAAGAAAACCACAAGCTTGTCCGGATCTCTTCCGTCCGGGCTTGTAGCTCCGTTATAGGTGCATGAAGGCAGTGTTGGGCATCCGTTTTGGATTTTGCAAGGATGGAAAGCAGGGAGAGACCCCGGGAGATGCCAGTGGCAAGAGCATAAAAATAAGTAGGGTCCTTTCTCGGGTGCCTTGCCTGTCCTGAGCCCCCGGGACGGTGGACGTGTGCACAGATGCCCATGGACTCTCCCTCCAGGGCTGCCCCTCACTGTGCGCCTGCGTCCGGGAGGAGGCTGGGCAGGACGTGGTGGACAGTCAGGCAAAGGCCCAGCCCCACCTTGGGGAGTCTGGTGGGGGGATGGCCTGAGCCTGCTGGGGGAGCCTCAGATCCGAGGCTAACCTGGCAGCCCTGCCCCCCAGCGCCGGTGCTTGAAGTCTCCAGCTATCTCCCAGGCAGTGTGAACAGAACGACGTGGGGGGGAGGGGAATGCACTTTGGAACTGTGGTTTTGCCCTCCCCCCTCCCCCTTTGTCCACCCCTGGGTCTGCCCCTCACCGGCAGCGCTAGGATGGGGGAGCTGCTGAGGGTCGGCTGTGAGCCCTGCGGATGCTGCGGATGCTGCTTCTGGCCTTGCTGTCCAGGGTTAGGCCTCGCCTCAGAGGTGCAGACAGTGAGTCACTCCTGTCTGCTCCCTCCCACAGTGAAGCTTCCCTGGGGAAGGGAATGTGCCCCGAAACTGGAAACTAGAAACTCACAACTGACAGCAGCCAGAGCTGGGGAGCGAGTGGTCGCGCCATCCCGGCCGCTTCGGGTGGTCCTAAGCCCCCAGCGCTGTCCTGCCCGGTGTTGCTCGTCCGTGTTTGAGATCAGCCCTGTCTGGGGCCGCCAGCCTCGTTTTGGTTTGGGTTAGAGGGGCTGGACTTTTTTTATCCTTTTATAAAAAAGTTTGTTTAGAACAGGTTAGTACCTTGGTGCGGTTCCAGAATCAAAACGATACTAACGGCGCTGACGGGTGCGGCTCAGGCAGCTGGGCGCCGTCCGGCAAAGGGAAAGGTGGCGAAGGGGTTGGCGGTCGGCCCTGCAAGCCGCGGCTTGTCTGGGTTTCTCTTCCTCTTTCTCCCGCCCCTCCCCTCCCCTTTCCCTGAAAATATTATAAACAAATAACATCTTTTAAAAAGTGATATTAAAGGATGGGGGTGTCTCACTCCCACCCCGTTCCTGTTCACTGTGCCTCCCCATAGTTTCGGACGTATCTTTCCAGTGTTCTATTATGCAGATGCAAGTATTTATCAACAAATGTTTGCTTTTTCCTTCTCTTACACGAAAGGAGCACCCTGTATATACCCTATCGCGTCCTTCCTCCTGGTGATGTCACTGAACGTGCCCCGGAGAGCTTTTCGTATCGGTTTGACTGGTGTTGGGGCCTTGGCCAGCAACGTCCCCTCCCGGGCAGCTGCGGACCGGGGCTGAGAGCCCTGCGGAAAGATAACATTTTAGGTGGTAGATGAGGAAACGGTGGAGCTTGTTTTTCACATTCGACCTCAGGCCCGGAGAGACCTTGGAGAGCCCTAACTCAAGCCAGCTTCCTCTTCGCATGACCAGGAAAGACCTGGGTGGCCACTTCTCAAATGGAATTGTGGAAGAGTTTTCAGCGTTTTGAGGGGATTGTGGGAAGCGGAGTCAGTGGACGCACACTGGGGTTTTCCAGGCATTGAAAACTCGGAGCTCAGCTGCCTGGGGCTCCCTGATAAGCAGAGTTTCTGTCCAAAGTCTGGCTTGCGTCTTGATTTCTCTCGGGAGACAGGAGGAAGCAGCTGGCTGGCAGGAAGTTTGATCCTGGGGCTGGGGCACGGGAGCAACCAGCCTTTGGAATGGAGAGGCCGGAGGGGGAGGGGAGGAGCTCAGCTGGTTGAACTGGAAATTCTGCTGGGAGCGGGCAGGAGGGGCCCCACGAAAGCCCCCCTGGGCCCGCTGCCTGCCCGGCTCGAGGGCCGCTGACGTCACTGTAGGTGCGGCCACCTGCACACCTTTGTTGGGCTGGCAGCAGCTTCCCCCGCCCACAGGGCCCTTCTTGGTAGCAGCCCAGCCTCCAGGAGCGCCAGGCGAGGCGGCGGCGGCGGGGAGGCGGTCACAGGGCAGGCCCGAGTGGGAGCCCTGGGCCTGGGTTCCGCGTGCACAGCGATGTCAGATTCACTTGTAAATCCAATGAACGTTGGTGATGACTGTGTTCTGAGTGTGTGGCAGAGGCCAGTCCGTCAAGAAGCCGTGAGGGAAGCCGGAGGTGTTGCTAGCAGGCCGCCCCTGTGAAGGTGAACTGAGGGTACTGCAGCTGGTGGCTGCTGGGGGCCGTGGGCCCGCCTCCCTGGTCCGGGGCTGGAGCTCCCTCTCACTTGGAGGGTCCCCGGAGGCTCAGAAGTCTAGAAGGGAAGTTTGGATGAATTTGTAGAGAAAGCCAGAGGCTGGCTGGCTTCTTTCCGTCCTTTTCCTTCCTTTGTTACTTTTCTTAAAAAAAAGATTTTATTTATTTTATTTTTAGAGAGAGCGGAAGGGAAGGAGAACGAGAGGATGGAAACTTCAGTGTGTGGTCCCACCCACTGGGGGCCTGGCCTGCAACTGCCTGGGAATCGAACCGGGGCCCATTGGTGCCCAGGCCAGCACTCAATCCGCGGAGCCGCGCCAGCCATGGCCTTTTTGGTTTTTTTAAACAAATGCAACCAAAATCATCGCACCCTGGCTGGTGTGGCTCAGTTGGCTGGAGCATCACCCTGCACCTGAAAGCTTGTGGGTTCGATTGCTGGTCAGGGCACACGCCTAGGCTGCAGCTTTGGTCCTGGCCCAGGTGCGGGCGTGTGCGACCCCAGGCCAGATGCGAATGACCCCTGATCTGTGCTTCTCTGTGCGTTGATGTTTCTCTCTCCCCCTAATAGCAGTGGGAGGGGGAAAATGTCCTTGGGTGAGGAAAACAAAATCATAGCAAGAAAGAGACTTAAAATTCTAATCGTTAATGGGGTGCATAGAGAAAACAAAGATTTCTTCATAAAGCAGTAGAAAGAAGTGACTTTCTGTCTTGGGTGCGACCTGCTTGTGCGGGGGTGGGGGTGGGGTTCTGTTCGGTGGCCGGGTGCTCCCACCCTCTGTGACCACCACCTCCCCAGGCGCCCGACTCGCCGGGAGGACGGGAGGACGGGGACACAACTGGGTTTCTCTGTTTCCAAGGACCTGCAGACACACATTAACCCAGTAAAACTTAGAGTCGAGGGCCCAGGGGGCTGTCAGAGTCAGTGCCAAACCCGTTGAGGGCACAGGATGGAAGAGTTACTATTTAAAAAGATTGTTAAAAACACAATTTGTTTCAACCTTTGTGAATTTACTGAGATTTGTTTTATGGCCCCCAAAACAGTCTATGTCAGCAAACATTCTGTGTATACCTGAAGAGAATATGTTCTCCTTCTGTTGGGTGGAGTGTTCTATTTTTTTTTTTTAATCCTCATCTGAGGATGTATTTTTACTGATTTTAGAGAGGAAGGGAGAGAGAAATATTGATCTGTTGCCTTCCACATGTGCCCACTCCACAGCCTCTTTGTAATAAAAACCTACAAGTAGGTGAACTTAAGACTTGTGTAGCAATCAGTGTTTCAATATTTCATGTTATTTCAAGATATCTAGATATTCAATTGCTTTTATCAGAATTCACTGATTTAGA